AAAATTCCTTAAATTTCTTAATATATCAACAGGTCACAGGTCACAAACATTCCTGGCCTTCAGCTTGATAATAAAAGGAAGGCACATAATGTACATATTGCCTAAATTAACGTGTGCACTAAACTCCCTGCGATCAGTGATGAAAACCTGTGAGAATTGCAATGGGACCAGGGTAATTTGTGTATAATTTTCATCAACTAATTGAATTTAATGCGCCCCTTTCTCCGGTGCGTACGTCGTGACTGTATTTATCTCGTAGTTCAATTGAAGAAAATTAACTGCGGTAAATTGGAAAATTGTCTATTAATGTCTTCGCTTGTAAATGACACAATTACAATACCGTTTAGAGAAAAATTTAAGAAAAAAATCGCATTGCTCAACCGTTTCCGTTGCATATAGAATTGCGATTGATAGGTGAGTATCGTGTTGCAATCGACGACGAGGTATTGTTTGTTTAGACTATTTACATGAAATGGTAATTCAAGTTTTTAACTAAAATTACCTTAACTAGGTCAATTCCTATAGGTGCTTATTACATCACCGCAATTAATCTGAATTTTTTTTACCGCGAAATCGTAATTACAGACATTACACGGCTTTTAAAGATGCGTCTCCTTTTACTTCTTCACCTGGTAATTTGATGTCACTCGATCGTTGCACGCAATTTTAGGTCAAAGCTCTACTGTTTCAGGGTGAATTTTCTGAAAAAAACCGTTGTTGAGTCACGCTCTTGCAAGTTGTGGTGGAAAACAAAACACGTGCCTTTTATAATATTGCAACGCTTTCTAGTTAATGAACCAATTGACTTTTTTTCATTTGCACAGTCGCGGGTTCAACACCCCGTTAAGTAGGGAATTTAGCATCTTCTCTTCCTACAAGTGCATTCAACGAAATGCAGGTTTCGCGATTGTCGCATCGCCGTTTGACATTTAACCCATAAAATTAGCGAATCGTTCCCTGGGAAATGGACGTGCATTTAAATTTTGGGGGCATTAAACTTTTGATGGGATTGCGTGCCGCTGCAGCTTCGGGGGGAAACATCATCCCTTTGTTTATTATATGAAACGTTGACTCTTGCGGAGTCAAGAAACCATTTATCGGCGCATGCAGCTGATATATTGCACATTCCAAATTTAAATAATGACGGTGCAATGGACGACTTTTGAACTCGTAATGATTATCGCGAAAGTAATTAGGATCCGAATAATTTTTGGGCGCTTTTGAGGTACCAACCAAATTTGCGAGGTTATCGACTTGCGTTTCATCGGGTCACTGGGTTACTCGAATTCGGGCCACACAAAAAATGTTCCGTTTGATGCATTTGTCCGCGAAATTGTTTCGCCCGTCTCAATTTTGCAAAAATATTTTGGAGGAATGCAATTTATTTATGTAACATCTGGACCGATGTGTCTATATATAAAACGGTCTAAAGAAAAACAACTCCCAAGCAAAATATCAAGTGACACACATTTTGCATTGCTAAAACCACAGATAACAATATCAGAGTTTTAAAAACAAACTGCATCACCGAGGTCAATGATCTTTTATAGGTATTATTTTAATACTCGATTATATTCAGCACTTGAAAACTTCCAGGATCAACCTAAATTTTAGTGAGATTAGATTAACCCGCGCATGTCCACGAGAAGGGACTTTTAACGAAATTCTCCTTGTTTATTTTATTTTTACAATGTTATTGACCAGAGATAATGTTACTTATATCATTTTTTTTATTTTCATGAGGATAGTTTACTTACACATGTCAAGTCAGACCGCCGGTTACCTAGTGAGTTAAGTGAGAGGAAATGTTAATTAAATTACAAAAAAGGTAAGATTTTTTTAAATTACTCGACTGCTCCTCCAAATTTGTTATCAATTAAAGTTCGTCGACCTTATTTTGATTTAATCGTGGAGGTTACAAAACTAAGGTAGTGGTTAACGCAATTTATAATTACGAAATACCAAGTAGCCTCTTAGCTACCTTACGTAAAAGACACTCCAGATGAGGACACTTCTGATCAAATTTGTTTTTCATCCCAGTGTCTGCAGATAAGCCGTCGATAAATTTAACTACTTAGTATTCGGTATGTACCCCATGCATCAACGTGGGAGGCTCAAGAATTCAGATCCCATAAACCTGCCAAAATAGGTTAATTTCCTCACGAAAAGTTGCATTTAGCTAAGGTTTCTGCAAATTAAAGGGGTCGTGCGAGTTAATTAAGTTTCACTCGATTCGGGGGTTTCTACCAATTAAACTTATGACGCGTTTCTCATTATTCTTCATTACATTGTTTATTTGCGGATAGGGCGAATGTAATTTGCGTCATCCTTTCTGGGACAATTTGAAAAATTGACGTAATGAGAAAACTACAACACTCGAGATAAACTCTTATGCGATTAACCGATTAAGTCGTTTCCGCAAAAGGTGACAATGGCGATAAGGTATCCTTAATAAACACACTTGTTATGGTATCGGCAGTTGTAATAGTTATTTGCTGCAAAAAATAAACTATACATAACTTATAAGCGAACAATAATTATTTTCCGCTGCTGGTTTTATTATGAATAAAATCAATAGTACAATATTATGCTGGTTAAGCATGATCCAGATACAAACACGGAAAACCACCGATTACAAATTAATATTAATTTTTCCAATATGCTATGACGTAACCGTAACAGATCTCCTCTAGCATATTCGAAAACAATAATTGACATTCCTAGTGCCAATTCCCCATTTGTGAGTATGAGATACACGATACACCCAGAAATTTGTGAGGAGTGATATGAGTGGTATGGTGTAAACGCCCTTAATCGCTTCACTAAGCTTGATGTTCATTAATCCAATTCATTCGAAGTATCGAATTGTAATAGTTTAATTCATTAAATTAATCTTTTACCCAAAATCGTCATGAAAACATCATTTTCCTGTCGCCTGTCACTTAACCGACCTCACTTTTCCGGCTGCACCTGTCACATTGTTAAATGTTTATACTGACAGATGGACATATCAAGTGTGCTACCTATATGAAAATTGAAATTTGCTATTAAAATACAATTTCGTGTAATATTTAATAGAAAAGTCGTCAGTAAAATGACACTACCTGATTCGGAAATTAAAAGTACTCGGCCCTAAAGGGGCATCGTACTTCAATATTTCCTCGCCAATAATGTGTCATTTTCCTTAGTTTAGACTCGTTTACAACCACATGGGAGACACAAAAAAAACAAAATTGGTTAAAATTTAAACAAATAAAAAGGTTTTAGCCCTTAAGGCGGGTAACTTCAGGGCATTTTCCATGAATTGATCAGCACTTTCCAATTGAAATGTACATAAGAAAGTTGACGTTGCGCAGTTCGCGCATGCGCACATTTAATTTATGCGATATGTTTGTTTTTATTAGAAGCGTCTATGGTTAAAATTTTTAAGAGAGATCTTCATGAGTAAAAAAGTTGTCATTTTTCAGTCTGCGCATGCGCGCATTTGATTTTTGCTATTTGCGATGTGCTTGTCTTTGCTAATGACATTTGTAGTTTTCGATTTTTACTACATGTGATATGTTTTTCTTTACTAGAAGCATCAATGGGTTCAACTTTCAAGAAATATCTTCATAATTCAGGAAGTTGGCACTGCGCATGTGCACATCTAATGTTTACAATACGAGATATGTTTGCCTTTATCAGAAGCATCTGTAATTAAAATTTCAAAAAGATATCTCGATAAATAAGACAATTGATATTGCGCATCGTTAAGTGGAAACTCAACCGACTCATTTAAAATTTAACATGAAAAATGAATTTTCTCAGTGGTATACTGGTATAATTAAAAAAAAAAACTTAAGTAATCAAACCCAGCAGGTACGTACTACTTGCTAGAGAAAATGAGTTGTTTCCCTTAAATCTAGGTAGCTAATTTCTATGTGCGAGTTATAACCAAGTATTGACATGGATAGCTCCAAAATAGGTCGACTTCCTCGGGACATTTTTAGATATCTCTTAATTTCCTAAGATAATCCGTGAAAATGCCTTGGAAAATACTGATATTCTATACCACGGATTAGTGCTGCGCTCGAAATTAAAACTGCATCAGGTAAAGTGTATAGCTATATGATTTCCTCTTTTATTACAATTTTTAAGATATAATGGGAAAAGTTCTTCCTTTTTTTTATTGCAAGAGAGCACCCAAAAAGGCACGAAAGTATCAGTTTTAAACAGCAATTGAGCTGATTGATTGAGTTCATTAATATTCAATTTTTGCCCACCTTAAGGAATCGCTCGGCAAAAAAGCGGTGCCAGGTATTTCAACCGTGTCCGATTCCTTCAAAAACACACATAAACGCGAATCCTTGATGTGTTTTTTGGACTATAATTCATTTTTTCCCCCGCACCCGATAATTAAGCGGTAATTCATTCGAATTTAAGTACCAACAAACACCTTTTTATTATTGATTTATAATCGTCCAAGTTTACGATTTAATTGGATCCTGGATTTGTTTGCTAAACGAACTCGTTGTTTTTTGGGACATGCACGACCATAAAGTCTCTGATCTCATCCACGTTGTTGCACTTGGATAAATTTTGGCAGTGTAAGTTAATTCCACTATTACCACCGTTATTATTGTGTTTACGTGTTATGCACGACTACTTCATTAAATAGCCGAATTCCGCTCTTTCTCACATTTATTTAAAAATTTAGAGCTTTGTTCGGAACGAGTATGGAATTGGTACCGAACTAAATATAAACGCGTTGTAATTACATTTTTGTGTAACTCAAAACGAGCACCGTGTCAAGTATTAATGAGTCTTTGGGGTGCAGGTGTAAGTGCGTTGCACTTTGGGGTCACGAAAGGTCGTGTGGGTCACGTGTCCGCTGACCGCGTATCGATTGTTGGTTCCTACCCGAAGGCGAAATTTTTAGTTATGTCACGTTGCAAAAAAATTAGACGCTTTAATGACTTTTCCGGATCGACAAGCTAATAGCTCATTTTTTTTTGTTCCAGATCTGAAACGACCACAGTACATTTTCCATGCCTTATCACGGATCACCGCCCGCTCCCGGTCCATTTAGCTTTTAGGGGTTTAACAGTGAGCGCAGGAACGCGACAGATATTAAGGGACGTCGATGGATTAGTTCGTCCGGGTCAATTACTAGCGGTTTTGGGACCTTCTGGCTGTGGTAAAACGACGTTATTGAACTGTCTCAGTGGACGTTTAAAATTAGATTCGGGACAAATTTTACTAAATCGGGACTCGTTGTGTAAAAGATGGAAGAGGAGAATGTGCTACGTTTTACAGCAGGACATTTTTTTCGCGGACCTGACGTTACGGCAAACTTTAGAATTTACGGCACGTTTAAGACTACCCGATACGATGAGTCATTCGCAGAAGATGCAGTACGTGGACCACATCATAGACGTTTTGGAGTTAACAAGCTGTCAAGACACCATTATAGGAGATTATATCAAACGAGGTTTAAGTGGCGGAGAAAAAAAGCGGGCGAATATCGCATGCGAACTTCTCACCAATCCATCTCTTATGCTTTTAGATGTAAGTTGCATTAACTAGATTTCCAGATGTATCTTTAAATATTTTGGCCTAGTTTTATTTATAATTGACGCCCAACACATGTTGAATTTTTGCTAGCGTGCGAATTTTTCAGGAGCCAACGTCGGGATTAGATTCGCATTCCGCCTATAGCTTAATGTCTATACTGAAGAGGTACGCGTTTTCCGAAGGAAAAACGGTCGTAGTCACCCTTCACCAGCCATCATCACAAATCTTCCACCTCTGCGATAAATTGCTCCTGCTGTGCGGCGGCGAATCTGCCTACTACGGCGACACTTCCAAAGTTGTAGATTTTTTTAGCAACGTAGGATTCACAATTAAGCCCCATTACAATCCGGCGGATTTCATCCGTAAGTTACCACCGAGGGGGAAGCAAATGACGTATCTTGTAGTGTACAATCAAGTTTAACTTCACCATGAAACATCCTCTACAGTACCACCAAATACCTACTGACCATTAAAATACCACTTAATACCATATTAATGGATGAATACACATAAATCTTCCCACTTTTGGACTGGATCCTAAATAAAACAAAATTATCGTGATGAACCTACAAGAATGCCAAAATGCAGAACGTTTTTACTCATAGCTTAACACAAATCTACTCGGTTTCATGGGCGCCCACAGAAATATTGTTCCTTTGATGCAAGTTTGCATTGTGATTTACGGTTTTGAAGAGGGAGGGAAGCGAGTAATTGAATATTCCTGTTAGGCATCGTCATGTCCTTCACCGGGGTACTGGGTTGGAAGGATTAAAAAATCGTGGAGTAGCATAGAAGTTAGGAAAAAAATGTTCTTTTAAATTAAACCAAAGCCGTAATGTCCGTAATAGTATAAATCCAAATTATGCACAAATTTCGGCAAAAACTGTATTCATATATAGTTATTTTATATTTTTTAAGGTACTGTAACGTAAATTTAATTACGTCGGTTATTTATTTATAAATAATTAACAATAAATTTATAACAATCTTAAAATGGGTTAATCTTTAACAGTAATTATTATTAATCACTCACTTCTTTCAAGAATGTTCTCAAGGACAAACACGTCATATTTCTAGGGAAGATTACATCACATCCGCCTTCCTTTTTATCGCCGATGACTAGTCTTTCCTGGCGCCTATATGTCTATTGGAATTTCTGGAATATTCGCTACACAGCCCCCCTCTTAAAACTGCTTTTCCCAGATATCATCCACAAGTGTAGTACGTCGTGTGTGTTGTTCGTCAAATGTGTGCCCCAGTTTTGAGCAGTGTCGACAATCCTTAGGACATGGCCTTTTAATCTACGCGTACCTAGACCTCAAATTCGGGAGCTTTGTAGTACCTTCCTGACTAAAGTCGTTCGACCCCTCAACGTCACTCAAACCATCCCACTTCTGGTTATATAGATACTTATGGAAAGGTTCGATCGATATGATGAGAGCTTGAAGTTCTCTTCGAGTGACCCAGTAATTACGTTCCGGTTTAGAGAAGGCTTTACTGAAATATCCGATGACTCTCTAGTGCTCATCCTGCTTTTGGGACAAAACAGTACCTATTCCAACATTGCTAGCGTCGGTATATAACACGAAGTCTCCGTCTCTTCTTGGATTGAGCACCGGGGCCGTAACTAAAGCATGTTTGAGTCCGTTTACATCCATCATCCCATTTGAAGTCTTTGTATTCCTCTGTTAATTTGACCAACGGTTTTTCAGTATCATATCAGTAAGGTATATAGGTCCAAGAAACTCCGTATTTCGTGTTTATCTTTTGGTTGAGGCCAACTTTGTCGGGATCCACCTTCACTCCATTCTTTAAAGCCAGATGACCAAGGTATTTCACTTCTTTTTGGGAAAGGTTGCACTTCTTAGTTTTTACTTGCAGATTGGCATCGCGCAATCTCATAAAAACGTCTTCGAGATTCTTCGAACGTTCGACCAATCACAATTCTTCTGCAGAGGCACCTCTAAAATGCATTATGCGGGTCATACTCTGTAATTGGGCGCAAGCCTGTTGAGGGCCCAGAACAAGAAAGGGATAATAAATAAATAAATAAATAAACCAAAGGGACCGTAAATTGCCATAAACCCGACCCTATGCTTCTTTGCATTCTTTAACTTGTTCAATTTATTTTTCCGACTCTTCAGAATTTTTCTTTTCTCCGGATACTTCTCACTCTTCAATTTCAAATTCCGTGGATTTTTGAATTTTCTTAATTCTTAATTAATTTATTGGGCGGTGGATATCTCCATCGATTTTGGAATTTTTTAGATTTTTCAGATTCTTCAAAATTGTCTGGCCCTTCTAATATTTTGCATGCATATTCAGATTTTTCTAATTCACTTTCAGCAATTCGTTGGTATTCAAATTCTTGGAGCCATGCAGAATTATCAAATTTTTGGATTTTCTTCAGATTCTTTAATTTTGCAGAGAAACAAAAATATTTCGCGGACAACCCTCAAAATCGATCTGAAAATTATAATTAAGACAGTTTTCTTCAAAATTTCGTAATTTTGAAATCAAAAGGGATGACTTTTAAACCCTTTAAACGTAAGCAATAAAATTTCCAGATCGAGTGAATTTAATGGCTTTGTTGTTCTGTTACGTGGGTTGTGGGTGGCTATGCGTTAATGAAGTTATTCCAGAATTGGAAAAATTTTTGTTGAAATCTCAATGGTTAATTGCTTTTCTATTATGTAATCCTGAGCTCGTTACCGACATCTACCTCCAATAATAAGAAAATTAGCCTGACTTAGTATATTCCATAAAAATATGAACTTAATACCACTAATTACCACTAGGTACCTCTTGTAGACAAAAATACGACAATGGTTTCTCCCTCGGTTCCCACCCTCTCTGCGCGCTTATACTAACGCATCACATTGCAGTGGAACAAGTAAAGGGTCCGACTGAAACCCGCCAAAAAATCGTCGCCGCCGCCAAGGAGGCGCGAAAGAACAAGGACTACCCCGTGGAACTCCAAAATCAAGACTGCCCCTATATACTTGACAAATACGGAGATCCACCCGGCCGGCCAGTAGCGTCGCCGTATCCAAACTTGGACCGTTAGTATTTTGGGCAGCTCGCACCACAAACACTTAACGGTTGGTTGCCTTTTAGCAGAAGATACCTTAAATTCTGTTGATCCAGAGGTTAGAAGACTGTGGTTGGACACGCACTCGCACGCGTCTTCGTCCGTTAGTTCCGAAACGAGCGACTCCGACTGTTACTTTACGTGGCCCACGAGCTTTTGGACGCAATTCAAGGTGTTGTCCCAGCGAAACTTTCTGGAGGCGAAACCGCGAATGTTATCCAAATTGAACTGGGTACAAACCATAGGTTTAGGACTGTTAGCTGGACTGCTCTGGTTTCAGCTCGAACGAAGGGAAGAAGCCTTACATGACATACAGGGATGGATGTTTTTTTCGACAACGTACTGGATGCTTTTTGCACATTTCGGCGCGCTTAGTTCGTGTAAGTTATAACGACAAAAAGATAAAAAACCGAAACTTATTTTGGCCATTTCAGTTCCTCCAGAGCGCGAGGTGATAAATAAAGAGAGGCAGTCGGGGGCCTATCGGTTATCCGCCTATTATCTAGCTAAAATGGTCGGTGAATTACCGCTTACTGTCACTTTGCCGGCAGTTTACCATCTAATATCGTATCCTATGTTAGGTAAGTTCTTATCTGATCTTTTGGATGTTTCACGCTCTTGTCGTTCATTTCAACGAAATAAATTTGTTTACATCGTGAAGACACGCATTAAGCTTAAGTAAATTCCTGGTGCGTAAGTCGTGTACAAATTTAATTTATGGTCGTAAAAATGAAACGACGGAGCAGCAGATGTACTTTAAGAACTACATCAATAGTTAACTCATTGAGCATACTGTTAACGTCATCAACGTTTTTGTCTTGTGTATCTTTTATAAGGGCGTATTTTTTATTGAGGAAACGCTGGTAACTAAATTATTTTTGGCTAGTTTTTATTACCTCTGCTGGCACTAAAATAATTATCGTCATTGTTAACTTAATTAAAAAACACTGTGTGTGCTTAACAAAATCATTAATCGAATATAGCCGTATTCTATATTGCTTTTCTTTTCAATCGAATCCAATGGAATATTTTGAGTTTTTTTGGATTCGATATTCGATAATCGACGAAGCCCACAAGATTTTTCACTTTCTATGATTTGTCAAGCATTTCCAATCCTTTGCTTCTTGAATTTGTTAAGTGCTTGTTGCTACAAAACTCTTTACATTACAAAGGAATTAAGGTGCCCTAAATTGCAATATGTTGCGATTTTGGAGTCGAGATTTTAGATATTAGGGTAATCCCTATACTATACAAAAGCCGAATGTATTTTAGGAACTTTACCTTTTTTTTGTAATTCTTTTGATGAAATTTATTATGTTTTAAAACCCCGTTCTTATATGTAATTTGTTCTTGTTCTATTATTTTCATTAAACGTTTATTTAATTAAAAAAAAAATACAAAAGCAACTTTTCGCGCTTTTTGACCAATTTTGGGGAATATCCATCAGGATCTGATCACCAGAAACAGCCATCAATTCGAAGAGTATGAATAACGCCAAGACCATTATTTTCCACATTTTACACGGATTGTTTTGTGTTTTTTATGGTTATACATATTCACGGGGTTACAATCTCTGCCAAAAATAACAATGTGTACAATAGCAACCTTTGCAAATTATTTTGCCAATTTCGCCTGATTGCAACTGTACTTCCCAAATAACTACACTTATTCTCGAGGCTTATTATTATATCTACAAGGGATTAACATGCAAAATAAACAGAATTGAAGGACTGTAGTTGCATATTTTATTCTTTGGAACGATACTGCATATAAGGTTACTGCCCTTTAGCTTTAAATTTGTTTCTCTTAAATATAATTGCAGATGGGATACCTACTTGCTTCTTTACACGTGTTCTCTATTTAATTTGGTTTTTATTATAGGTAAAATTTGTTTAAATATTTTCTTAGGTGAGGTTTTCAAGGTTTCGTTATTGTAGTCAGTCGATCTTGCATTTAAAATTAAGGTAATGTTTATTTGTTTGTTTAGTGCAGTGACCCCTATAAGTACTTTTTATGCGAGGTATTCAAATAAACTGTGAGTTTAACTTGTAAGTTGTAATTAATTGCTTTGATATTAAACTGAGTTCGCCAAACTGCTACAAAGTTTCACTAATTATTCGTATTTAAACACACTAATTTATGTTTCTTTAATTGATATTTAATTATACGTACATGAAATCATAATGTACCTGCAGAAAATAGTTATTTCAATGCAAGCTTTCCAGATTTGTCCATTTCTTTTTTATTTTTAACAGGCCTTAGGATCCTCCATTTAGGTACCTAACAGTTTTCTTAATTAGAATCATTCGTAACATTAATCAGCAGTAGGATTAAGGAAAACATTTCGACATACCTATATTTGTGACTTACCTTAGTTTGAAACTACCAAAATGCTAGTTAAGTGCCAGTGAATTTTATATTTTACTTAAAATAATTTAAGGCAGTTCTACTTTTTTGATTAGAAATTAAAATAATGTAACTGGATACGAAAGATATGGCTTTCAAATTAGTAATGATCTAAATATAATATACAATTAGTTTCCTTTTTTACCAAAATCGACTACACCAAAATTTCTCAGGAAAATACTTTTTCTTATTAATTTTGGTGCGTAGAATCCAAAACAATTCGTACTTTTTCGATTAGACTTTTCAATCAAAAGTTATAGACTAGAAACCAATTTCGAAAGAAAATTCAAAGGGCTGTAACTTTTGAGCTAGTAGCCCAATCTTGGAACTGTTTGAAATTATGGATTCTACAGGCCACATTCTATAAGAAATTTTTTTTCCGGGTCGATCTGAGACAATTTTTTTTCGGGCCTCAAAAAAAGGCAGTATATAACCTTCCTTTTTTACCAAAAATCGACTACACAAAAATTTCTCGGGAAAACACTTTTTCTTATTAATTTTTGGTGCGTGGAATCTAAAACAATTCGTACTTTTTTGATTAGACTTCTCAATCAAAAGTTATGAACTAGAAACCAATTTCGAAAGAAAATTCAAAGGGCTGTAACTTTTGAACTAGTAGCCCAATCTTGGAACTGTTTGAATTTATGGATTCTACAGGCCACATTCTATAAGAAAATTTTTTTCCGGGTCGATCTGAGACAATTTTTTCTTCGGGGCTCAAAAAAAGGCAGTGTACAACCTTCCTTTTTTACCAAAAATCGACTGCACCAAAATTTCTCGGGAAAACACTTTTTCTTATTAATTTTGGTGCGTAGAATCCTAAACAATTCGTACTTTTTCGATCAGACTTCTCAATCAAAAGTTATAGACTAGAAACCAATTTCGAAAGAAAATTCAAAGGGCTGTAACTTTTGAACTAGTAGCTCAATCTTGGAACTGTTTGAAATTATGGATTCTACAGGCCACATTCTATAAGAAATTTTTTTTCCCGAGTCGATCTGAGACAATTGGGCACAATGAAACTTTGTTTCCTAGCTATTGAGTTTTCCTCTGTCAGTAGTAGCAAAACGCAATTGTTATGCGTCTCCTTTGAAACGTTGGCTTTTACTCAACTGCTCCATTTAAAGCAAAAGGGTGACAATGAAACAATTAATTGTATGCGTACGTGCGACCTTAATGCAGAAAAAATCTTTTCTCGAAACTCTTAACAGGGCACTATAAATAAGCAGCACTTACTGTCAATTCGCAGCTTAAGTGCATAAATTGTTTTTGATATTAAAAAAATACTTAGTCGAATTAATGAAAACAAATGATCAGGCCAATTACCTACGCAATGTTTTCAGGTTTTCACTCACCGGTCGTGTTCATAACTCTTCTGGGCTTCCTGCTACTGAACACGATAGTGGCACAAAGTGTCGGCTTTTTTATCGGCGCAGCCTGCATGGACATGCAGGTTAGCATAACCATCAGCGCGCTGTACACGTTAGCCACGCAACTCTTCGGCGGATATTTGGCGACGAATATACCGCCGTGGCTGACATGGATGAGGTACACCTCGATGGTCCATTACGCCTATCAGAATATGCAAATAGTGGAATTTAGCGAAGGACAACCAATTAAGTAAGTACTTACCACCGGTACCGGCGTACCTACTAAATTCGACCCTCCAAATTTCAGTTGTTCGCTGCAGTCCAAATTTGAGGTTTGCAGAAATTCAAAGCACATTTCAGCGTCTGTGATATTGGAGGCACAAGGTGCACATTTACCTTTATGGGCGAATACCTTAGTGCTGTTAGCGTTTCTTGTGGTGTTTAGAGTACTTGGTTACATTGTGTTAAGATACTTTCGAACCCCGAAATAAAAAAACCATTTTTGTATGTTAAATTGAAAATTGAATTGTGATAAGTTACTTTAAAGGTCGCCGTGGTGACGACGATAAATGAACAAGTACCCGTTTACTCCTAATTAATTTTACTTAGACTGTTGTGAATTGTTCTACTCCCACGAGTGTGGTAGGTTACTTTTTGAAACTGGCTGTGTTCTAACATTATAGAGATCATAATGATAATAATATAACTTTTTGTATCTACTAAGTTTTTGTCTTTTTTGTATCGTAGCGTATCGCATAATTCATTCCAACTTGTTTTTAATGTGAAGAATTTTTCTTATTGTTACCAATACCTACTACTCCTATTATTATAATAATGCGTGTGTTTACCTATCTATAGTTGAAGTTTTTATAAATTAGAGAGATTTATGTCGTTAAAAATGCAATAATAAATTCTTCATAATAACGACAGGTTTATACTTTTCAAATTTTATAAATAATCTCTAAGGTGCGATGGTGAAGCACAGTGCCTATGTTAACGATGTGCCAAGAACAGACAACCAGCTACGGCGACTGCCAGATTAAAAGTCTATGTAGGACGCGTACTACTGACTTTTCTGAACTGTATCATAGTATTGTTAGGACGGTTTTCGTTTGAGAATTCAATTGTACGAGGTATTACAGATTGTATTGTAATATGATTACCATGCAGTGTTCATACCATAAATTAGTTAAAGGCGAGTCCACACAGGCAGTTAATTTGTAGATACTATGTGTACTATTTATTAGTTTATGTATTTTTGTTGCTAACGCCGTGTAGGACAATGTAATATAACCATATACATAGATATTGCCTTGTAATAACGAATACATGTATTTACTTTACATCTGTGTTCCTTCTGGCTACCGTTTATATTTTATTCTTTTCTCTTTAAATGTCAGGCAGGTATTCAATGGTATCTCGAGATGAATAAAAAAACATTTCAGTATTTTATTATATATGTAACAGTTTTATAAAATACTGTTATTAGCAATTAAGAATGACCAGACCAAACTCTTACTGCCATTTTATTCGTCAATAAAATTTTAAGCAAATTCAATGTTATTGAAAATGTTTTCTTTTATTAATGCAAGTTATATCAGGCGTTGTCATATCATGCGTCATTAAATTTTAAAAACGTCTCGTAAACCACTTCCATGTATCTAAATGTACAAAGACCTCTGCATATTTACTATGTTATAGCTAGTCCTAGAGTTTCTTATAACTAGGATTTTATTTATATTATTAATATTATTAAACCAATAAAGACTATTATTGTCATTTTATATGTATATTATTGCGTTTAAATGAAATGAACCCAAATTTTAGATTGCGAAGCAATTTATTGATCATCTTTGCTATAGGCCGGATTACAGATTGGAGATTGTTGGGTTCGGTAGCGGTTTCTACTTCAATTACAGAATACTGCAATTGTGACATGCTGATGGAATCGATTATAAGTGTGCATTTGGTAGTAAATACAACAAAGAAACAAAAACTATTTCTTTCAAAACTAAGTAAGAAAACTTGAAAACGGAATACAACTACCAAGCTGAAATTCTTTAAAGGAAGTGAAGACGCCAATGAAATAGATAATTAATAGTAAAGTGGCCAAAAAGTTAATAGGAAACAATGGCCCGTATGAATAAAAATAAGCAAATGCTTATACTGGCAAAATTCAAAGTAAATACTCGTAAGTGTTCATTCGTACTGGGCGATTTAGCCGCACTGCTAAGCAGAAGGACAGGACGTAGTGCAGCGCTGCTAAACAAACCAGTATAAAGGGGCACTTCCGAGTATTTATTTACTTTGAATTTTGCAAGTATAAGCATTTGCTTATTTTTATTCATACAGGCCAATGGAGAAGTGAGGAATAGTAGATTACATACCGAGCTGGGAGGTGGTTCATTACCTACCCCGAGGGCTTAAGGTACCTCACCGACGCGCGAAGCGCGGAGGTGAGGTATAAGCGCGAGGCGTTGGTTATGAACCACTGACCAGCGAGGTTTGTATACTATTTTACTCACAATCGGTTAGTATTATCTGAATTCCTAACCTTCATAGCGGTTGCGAAGCGACTCATTACTCACCTTAGCCGGGAAAGTAACTTTCCCGGCTAGCTGTCACTTTCCCGGCTAGCATCTGTCACTTTCCTTACCTGCAAATGCTATTCATATTATCCTTATATGAAACTTATACTAATAGTGACACCGCCAATGTAACCATTAATGTTTACAACAATAGCAAATTACGAAGAAGAACGAAACTATTTGCTATTGTTGTAAACATTAATGGTTACATTGGCGGTGTCACTATTATTGACAGTTAAAGTAACACCTTGTTGAATTATATACTTTACCTTAAATGATCGATTGTGAGTAAAATTTTATTTTTTTAGGAGATGGGCTGGATGGGCATGATATATATAAACAATTGTGTAATAGTGTATTAATGTATTAATTTTATTATCTGTCAGTTTGTCTTTGCACTTTTTGCTCGTTGTGTGTGTATCGAAATGAATAAAATGGAATACTGGGCTGTTATAAAATTCCTTACAAAACGTAGATGGCGCGCGCCTTTTGAAGTCAATTTGAAATTCGAACTTTCCGCGTTTTTCTTTAATCGCAATTTATAGTAAGCGTTTTTTTTGGTTAATTTTGATGTTCAGTAGCGCTTAATGTAATAATCCTAGTTATGCATTTTGATTTTTCGCCATGAATACCTATAATGTGTATTACTATTATGGATACCGTTTGTAGGTATACCTATACAACAACCTTAGTCAAATATTGTTGCTGATTTATGTGCCGGGGGGCCGCGGGCCCAATTTAACTACATGCGCCAAAACAACTGTATAAGGTGGTGAATCTACTAGAGATGACACACTAACCGCCGGAGAATTTTGCATGCAAAAGCATAAACCTCTCCGCAGGAGAATAAGAACATCTTAGCGGACCAAAATGTGCTAGTTTTGTTTATTATACTCTACGAAGTAAACATCACAGTCGCTTCCTACGTCTGCTAACAGTAACTTTGTATTCTATAGCCCCTCTCCCTTGCCCTTTTAACTTATCATGCCCTGGAAAAATTTACAAAGATTCCAATCGTCTAAAACGTCATTTAGAACTGAAACACGCCTACGAACCAATTCCATATTAATCTAAAGAAAGCTCCAAAACTGCCGGAAACACATCCGAATTTGGGCCTGTTTCGGCATCATACACAGACCAAACATCAATAACCGCCGGGGCAGCTAGTGAGACACACGAAAAATATTCCGGCTTAAAATCTAACATCATTTTTGAAGTATATTGGATGAAACATAATAGCAGTCCGGAGACATCCGTGCTAAAAGTGCCCTACTTCAAAGAAAATCCTTTGCAATCCAACGCATCAGGGGCACCCTATATTGTCATTGTAATTTAATTATTTTTAAGGCAATGTTAACCGTCACGTTTAAATTAATCAGAGACATTATATTTGGTCAAGGTGGAGTTCAACAAGGCGCAAGGTGTCTTGTTTTTTCCATGACGACAATCTACCAGTGCACAAGTCCTTTCAAAAGCTGCTGTACCATGCGCCTTATAGTCCAGACCTAGCACGCTGCACGCCAGTGACTATTTTCTGTTCCCGAATATTAAAACATCACTATCATAAAACCTGCAATTGCTGAACATCTTTTTGAAGATTTAGATTACTTTTACCATGAAATGCAATGTGCAAATTCCCTTATTCACAAAGGTTGCAAGAGCTGCTCCGTTTCTTTTCTCCTTTTTCGAAGTCAAAGAAAGTAGTGCCAGTTGGTCCTATGCATGTGATGATAGCTGCCCAAAAATAATAACTATGTTAGCCAAGCAGTTTTTATGCACGTGCAAGCATTAGTAGTTTCGCAGTCTCGACACTTGCAATAAATTAGTATTAAAAATTACAAATCGTCAATTTGTTATATTTCATTGTACGACTTCGTTTTGCAAATTAAGTCGCTGTTTAAGCCTGACAGAAGCGCAGTGCGTGCAAAACCATAAACTATTGATGAAGTATTCAATTATTTTTTCCAATGTTCTTATGGGGTGTGAAAGGTAAGAAAAAATAGTTCATTTCAGTCTGTTTAAGTCACCGCATTCGATTTCAATATTATACTCATTCCCATTTGTTCAAATAATTCTCTTCTTTAATAGGTTAGGTAAGTTTAGGGAGTTTATAATTGCGTTTACAAATGACTCTCTAATTACACATACAATTTACAAATGCGACTCCTTGTGATTTCGAAATTTATTTTTCAAGGAAATGATTATCCAATACTGTTTCTTTAATTGATTACGTTTGTAGTGTCTACAAGCAACCACTAACTGCGCCTACAAATGCCACCCCTAGCGATTTTGTAATTATGAAATTTATTGGGATTTTTTTTGTGACGTTAAGAGGTCATCGAATGTATGTATTACTATTACAGATTTAACGCATCCCTACTCAAATTTTGTATTATATATAGCTAGCTAGCTGGCGGTAAAGAAATCTTACAAAATATCCTGTTTATGACAACCTACCAAGGTCATGGCCATGGTCTAATTCAACCCCTACACCACATATGTTTGATTCTGCTATTTTGAAATGTCAACTGCTTTTTTCATTGCAACAAAAATGAATCCTTTTGGGATCAAATTTCACTTTGCAACAACGTATAATATAACTTTACAACTCCGTGAGGCTCCAACAAGCTACAATGTAAAATGCGCGCCCCAAATGGTAGAGATTTTATTCGTACGTATGTAAAGAACCTAACTCTTAGGTAAACTAAAATTACGGGTTCAATGCCAAAATATTTCTCGTGTCACTAATTGAGTAATAATTGTCACAATGGTTTCATGCTACGTAATTTTTTGCATGACTATATAATTACTTGAACGATGGTAGGTGCGCACTCACTGTCCAAATCTAAGATGGTGTGTGTTCCTAAAAGAGAATTTTTAATATAAGAAATCGCACTGTACATTACCGATTGCTATCAATTTTCAGTTATTTAGTACTTTTTCAGAGGGTTTTAACTAAATAAAGAAGTTTCCCAACAGTTTTCAAAATACAGTAGAAAGCTGTGTTATCAAGAGATATTATGTGGGTTAAAATGGGGTAAAGTCGCTTTTTTCAAAATGAATCGATTAACTTGAAATTCTGACCCTAGGTAGAGAATAGCCCAAGGATCAAAATCTATACCATTCCAAAGGGCTCTTTCAGCCTGGGGTGGTTGCTACCCCATCTCGTTGGTGGAAATTTTTTATTGTAATTTGACCACTGCAATAGATACAAAAATTAATTCTATGTAAAGTTAACACTTTCCGAGTAATTCGCGATAGAAAAGAATAATTGGTTATTCGCGAAAAACTCCCATGCATTTTATTACAAAATCGTATAGCTTTTAAAAGACAAAGGACATGGTTGTTTCATGTTTGCTGTTTGACCTATAAGAACCGAGTTACAGCTTGTTAATTGTTAAAGGTTAGCTCTTCTTTGTCAAACTCTAAGTTAGAGAGTTTCAAAGTCAAATAACGGGAAAGCTATGCATTTTCGAGAAAAACATAAAAATTGAGCGAGTTATGGATGAAAATAAGGTATTTCAGTTAAAATATTAATTAAAATTAGCCCTCCTTTTAGTTTTTATTAATTACGTATTATTAATAGGTAGATTCCAGAAGTGTGACTAGTTTAGAAAATTTAACTTTGAAATAATTGAGGCTAAAAGTAAAAAAAAACGAATTTCTGCAATTTTGTGAAAAACGCCCTTCTCTTCAAAATAACTCCAAAACGACTGGAGATACGTAAAATTGCTACAGTGTCAAATTGTAGCTTTTCTCTACGTCAAAAATTAAGTGAGATATAGACGTTTTGACATATATGCGAGTTTGAGTTCTTTAAGCCCCTTTGAAAACTATGCGTTTTAGAGGAGTTTAATGTAAAGTCAATCCCAATCACCCCTGCAATTACCAGATCGTTCTGCGTGTATTCTGTGACTAGATAAATCATCTTGAACTACTGGATCAAAATTTGGCGGGCAACCGTTTGATTATTCGGTTTCCATTTAAGGGAGGCAGGAAACCTGACAAAATTCCGGTGACATTGGACTTCTGTTCGTCTGTTAGTTGGATTTGGTAAGTATTTTGTTGGGAAATGCCGTTGCTCTCGCAGACGCGTTACCCTGGAGCATTTTGTACACAGATAGGATAGGGGAGTATATAGACGATGCACTAAAGTTCTTTGAAGCCACTGACAGCCAGGAAGCCAAAAATGACATCAACAAGTGGAACACTATCCAGTTGGTTATGTGACAGTCAAGAGTTGCTCTACAACTTCTTTAAATAGAATTTCTTCAGTTTTAGTTTAGACGATATAAAAGGATGCTATGTTGTGATGAAAAACTGGATGTAAAAACTTTTTTGAAAAAAAATTTACCTTTTGAGCGCGTGTAGAAACGTTTAGGAATTCGAGAAAAGTTGCGAGAAGAAAGTTGTAGAGGATTTAATGTCCTTTCATTTTTCCCTATGATGAACCGATTTCAATATACATGCAGAAAACTCAAAAATTGTACTTTTTCCCCCACTCTCACCCCTTGGCTCGCCACCTATAGTCGTCAGTAGTTTTAGTATGTACACTACCGAAGCACTCTTAAGAAGTTTCTGAAAGAATCGGATAGGTACCTGCTCACACCCTCTACACCCCCAAATTCATTAATTCGAATATTTGTCGACCCGTGTAGCGCAGTTCAGTGGAAGCTCGACTGCGGTACAGGGTCCCTGGTTCAAATCCGGGTTCGGGCATGGATATTTGTAAATATATAGTGGGTTGGGTTGGTAGAGCAGCCTCGGCTGAAACCCCGCCCACTTAAAAATAAAGGCAAAAAATAAAAATAAATAAATAAATAAATATTTAACGTAGTTTTCACATTAATGGTAAATTTCGTATTCCTATACTACGAGTATACATTGATATTTTTTGAACGCTGCTACATACCAATAAAAGCTTTATAAATACAATTTTAAAGGTTTTTGGACACCTTTCAAATGATTGCCATCTCTTGCAGACCCAACTTCCTGAAATGCTCTTAAACGCCAAAAGCCTATTACTAACAATTCTAAAAGATTTAAACGGCTCTTCGAGACTGTAAGTAACTCTTAAGAGCCCTTAAAGACTTTTAAACAGTTCTTAAACACTATAAACACTATAAAAGCTCCTTCATGATCTTAAAGGTAAATAATAACCGCTGGATTCTTAAAAAAAAGGATAGAATCTGACGGCAAACGTTTGGTAAAGTTTGGAAACTCTATGGAAGTGTTAGTGGTAGCCGATATACTTACTTTTAGTAGGCACTGGTCATTTTTATTTTAATATAATACATTTTAATTACAATTTTAGTCTGTTACTGTATAAAATATTTCATTTGTCCTGTTTGTCCTGGTGGTAAATTGGTTCCATTTGGTCTTCAATATCCAAAACTCCTTTTTTAATACACTTTTAAGAGCATTTCCTTTTCCGGTCTGTTAATATGTAGTCTTAAAGTTATTTCAATCCTTTGGGGAGTAGATTTACACCTTGTCATTGGCTCTATAAAATTTGCCTTGATATATGTCATTTCTTTCTGAGATAGACATCCTGTCACAAGGGCAACTGTATACAATAAATTATTGTCTCATTTGCTCCTGAAGAATTTTTTAGCAGTCTTTCTTGTCTATAAACGTAACTGAAACATGATTACCTTAATACTGTCGTTGGGCGACTCTTTGTCCTCTGACTATAAAATTTGCACTGAAGAGGCATTCTTGAATAGACTGTTGCAAGAGTAGCTGCATAAGTACTTCGTTATCGTTGCATTTGGACAATTAATTTGTCCCATGTTCAGGAGGTATAATCGCCATTTGTCCTATTCCTCTGATTATATAAAATTTGCTTTGAAGAGTCATTTTTACCTTGCATAGACACTTCATGTTGAAGACAATGATATAAAATTAGAACCTATAAAAATTTAGCCAAAGCAAGTACCCAAAATTACTTGCTTTCTTAAAAAGAATAAATAAAGCAGAAGAAACTAAAAATGTTGACCATAAAACAGGAGATGAAGTTTAAGCAAGGCACCTGATGCAAAATTCTTAACGGCTAAGGTAGAATATCACCGGCAACACAATACGTCTACTATTAAAAAATAATTTTTTCTCCAACCACCTGAATAAGACGCTATTTTGTGACAGTGTTCGGTACCTAAAATTGACGTTTTGCGGATTAATCGCTTTCACCATGGCAACTGTACAAAAAGTGGATACTTTTGGTCCTAGTACCAAAAAGAAATTGACCTTGAAAGTTGGCCAATTAAAAAATTACAATCACGGAGATATGTCACATTGACATCGTTTTACATTGCAGGTTGTAAGATATTTCTATATATACAAATCAAATATTTTTGCAGATTCAATGCAAATAATGATGTTACCTATACGTATGTACATGTATTGAAAATGATTTACGCTCGCTATTTTTATTTAAACCATGTGTAACGTAATTTACATATTCCGTGAACGTAATTTTAATACGTAGACAACCCGCCGTCGCGCGTAACGCCATCTACTTCAGACCCATTGCACTATTATCTGTCATTTTGAATTCAAAATTTGAAAAAGTTAATTGCAATTAATTTTAATTAAAAAACTGTATGGTAAGTTTTTTATTTCAATACAAAATATAACAATATTAATTGTGTATACAATAAAATGACTGAAACTGATAGCGACATGGATTGCACTCCGTCAGAGATTATAGAAACGGCAGAACATGCTACCTCAAGATTTGCTCCCTACAAAGTCGCGAGAGGTGAGAAGTAAGAGGTAAAAACGAATAGGTTATAAGTTAACCTAAAAACTAGAGTGGCATGACACGTGAGGACAAGAAAGCAGAAGTTCTTATACTATAGTAGTGAAACTGTAACTGAATCTAAATTGGAATATAATTTGAAGTAAAGGGGGTTGGAGAAAAAATTTTATGTTTTATTCGTACAAAAAATGCGTTTTCGGGACTCGGAAGGTTGCTGGACTCCGCTAACGCGTCGTCCAGCAACTATCTTCCTCGTCCCGAAAACTGACATTTTTTGTACTAATGAAACAAATAACTATTTCTATTTCGGTGTCACAATGATGATTTTGTACAACTGTTTTCGGCCGAAAACAGTTCTACAAAAACAGTGATTATAGTCGTTTTTTTTTTGGTAACTCATCTGCATCTCTTAAGTTGGCAGTTACTAGTTAGTACAAGTAGGTACAATACTTCTATGTTTGAACTTCAAAATGTCAGTCTTACTACGCTGCCAACCTAAAACTTAACGGCATAAAAAGTGTTCCCAACATAAAACATGTTAGTTCTAATCTTACCTATAGTTTCTGATAATGATTTTTTTAATTAAATTATAGCACCGAAATAGAAAAAATAGTATGAAAAACGCGTGTTACAATGCTTTATTGTAATACTTCTATCTTGCGGACACTCGTGGCTACGCTTCGCGTCGCCACTCGTGCCACAAGATAGTCGTATTACAATAGGTCGCATTGTAACACTTGTCTTTCAATATACTAATTAAGCTGCTCTTAGGTATAGTTGTATAAAGCGTGCGCTCGTAGAAGCACAGGTTTATTAAATTTACTTACAACCGATGTACAGGGTGATTCAAATTTGTGGCCCATCATTGGGATCTCCGTAACGGTGAGAGAAGTAAGAAGTTGCTCCTTAAAGTCATTTGAAATTATTAAAAATGCCTGAAATATCTCCGAAAAACTGAAAATGTCAAATTTCGTTTTTATTTTCCCTAGGTTAAACGGTCGGAAATGGACGGTTCTCGTTAGTACCTTCTATGAGCACTGTTTTTTTGGAGATTCTGAATCTGTTCTTAGAATTTCCATAACGTGCTAGATGTAGAAGCTACAAAAATTCTTATTACTTATGGGCGCCATGCTGAATTTTTACTGAATGAGATAGAGGACAAAAAAGAAAAATAATGGCGTGTCGCGCTCTAGACTTTTACAGAAAATTTACAAGACAAATTTCAAAATCAAATGTTGTACATTCAATAAAACATCACTGAATCAACATGACCACAGATAAATTGGGTATTTTAACATGGCTATGAATTTCTTTTTTTTGTCTTTTATTTCATTCCGTAAAGATCATGCCAAATTCTTCTTTTTTAGAGAAAAATACAAAAAGTTTTTGCTGCAGTTTTTGAGTGGTTTTCCAAAAATCAGCCATTATCAGGTACTCATATTGTTGGGAAAGGGTTTCTGTGGTTTTATTACTGCAACTCATGATTTTTAAAGACCGTCTTAACACCTGTTATAAAGCAAACATAAAAATACTCTACTGATCCGCTATTCTTTTGCTGTGGCTTAATAAACACCAAATTGATTAATGCTTCACGTTGCATCTACCTGTCTTATAATGCCCCTCCACGTACAAAAGAAGCTGGAACGAATACGCCTACGCCACTGGCCGATGGACGTAACTTTCACTCCATTCAAAAGTGGCCAATTGATAGAGGTATTTGTTCGTAATTCGTTAGTTAAATTAATTTTTAATTAAACTTTTAACAATTTGTACTCTCTTTAAAGGTGAAATTTGTATACCTGGCGAGTTCACGGTCGGCTGACGTGAAATGACCGTTCACCCGTTCTACCACCTTTGTTTTACGGAGGCTTCTCCTTATAAGTGTGCAATGTATCTCGGTTAAATTCGGACGGAATTGGTTGTTAGTGATGTGAGTTTGTTGAAGTTATTATAACTTTTGTGTTTGTAATTTTTATTTTTGTAATAGATGCGGTGGCGCTATAATTAGTGATGAATAAGCATTTCGGCCATCTATTGGGTTACATCAAAAGAGAGTAAGTTTTGTCTTGTGCTGGAAGCAATTTTGGTTTATGGACCGATTCTTAGAGGGGGCTAGTGTAGCGGAACGCGCGCCAGTTTAAATTTATTTCAATGATCTCCCTTATCGGTGATAACCCAAAGGTCATCGAGACCACAGTAACGGCGTCAATGTGGTTCGATGTGGCAGTCTAATATTTTCGGTACCTACTATTTCAGGAGGCGGTCATGTTAGGTGCCCCCTTAAGACGATGTCGACGTGTTGGACCTGTGATTTTTCTATGTCTGCTGCTCACCATCGTGTTTGTTTGGCGAAGAGTGGAGGTGGGCGAGGACAATATCGTTGGGAAGCACATATTTCGGTTAGTCCTTAATTTTTGGTTAAAACCTTCTAACACCATTTTAGAAAAAATCAAGAGGAGTACATTGACAGAAGAGGGGTTCATGTGGTTGTGGGTCATTACGTTGGCAACCCCGCCGATAAAGTTCCAAATGCGACTCTCGAAATGATTAATGCGAATAATTTTGCGCCAGAACCCAACGCAGGCAAAGACGGTTTTCCGGTCGTCATTGCGCCGAAGGATATAATCAAAATGAGGCAGTTATTTCAAATAAACCGTTTCAATCTTATGGCTAGTGATAGGATACCCCTAAATCGTACTTTACCCGACGTCCGAAAAAAGAAGTAAGCGCAATTTGCTGAGAAGACTAATCTAATTAATGATGTTTTAGATGTAAAAGTATGTACCAAGATTACAAGGAGTATCCCAAAAGCAGCGTTATTATTGTTTATCACAATGAGGCTTGGTCTACGTTGCTAAGAACTGTATGGAGTGTAATTAACCGGTCACCGAGAGAAATTATGGAAGAAATTATTTTAGTGGATGATGCCAGCGAGAGAGGTACGTACTCTCACAGTTTTCAGTTTTCTTGGCTGAAATCTATACCATGAAAATTGAAATGGTAGAATTTGGAGATGCTCGTGTAAGGAATTCATTGGAACTCGACAGAAAGGGGTGGGTAGGGGGAAGAAATCATACATCTCCCGCCACATTTCCAACCTGTCAGATTTTACTTGATTCCGGATGGACAAACCTGACGATCACATAAACTAGAGCTTTCTCGACTTAATAAATTGATAGCCAAACATATTGGTACCAATGACTTTGTTAGTTATTGTTTATTCTTGCGGAAAGGGTGCAAAAAAGTTATTTTTAAGGTGCAATGTAATAATTCCCGCTGTAAAAAGTCCATGCAAGGTTGAATCGGACTAGTTTAACCCCTTTCTCCGCCCTACGGGTCTTTCTATTACAGTTTATCTTTTGGGTGTGATTCAATGCGATTTTGGCGCAATATTGAATTGCCAAGAAATGTAAGAGGATTCGATAGATCCTCTATTGTCCGTCACTCAATCTGCCCACCTGTCCATGAGCATAAACTTGCTATACAAATTCTGTTTGACTCAAAAAAGAACCCTTGAATTACGGTCAACGAGCCAATAATGTTCCTACGGTCTTCTATAATAAAACTGTTAATGTCATAGAGGCCCCATTTATATGCACTATAAAATGGTTTGATATTGCTCGAAAGCCGAAAATTGAACGACATTTAGGACCCTTAAAGTAATTTTATAAGCCATTAGGGTTCCCTAAGAGCTTTAATAAGAGTAGCTTACAGTCCCGAAGAGTCTTCAAAAACCTTTAGTTACGTGGTTTAGTTCGTTTAGAGTACTTAATGGAGTTCTAGTGTTAAAGCGCATTTTAGAGTCTATTTATATGCTTGCTGAAGAAGGTTTCAAACTAACCGACGAAAGAAACCAAAATATTTGAGGAGCTACCCCAAAGGTAGGACCTTACTAAATGGATCGAATTCTCTTAAAATATCACGCAATATAAAAATCGACTGTGCGGAATTATGAGGTAACTGGAAACCCTTTTAAGCATAATCGATTATTGAAACAAAAATATTTGAGGCACAGTAGAAGTTACACCCCCTTCAAAGTATATGACTATACATCTTTATATACAGGGTGTTCATTTGAAAACTTAACACCACGGATTTATCGAAAACGACTGATTAAAGGAAAAAATGCCGAGACACGTCAAAAGATTTGTCAAGGGGGAAAACTTTTTAACCAAAAACTACTTCACCTCCTTTCACCCTCTGTCCCTCAGGCTCATTTCCTTAACAATTTTATAAGACAAGTGGTATCGAATAATAATAATAATAATGTTTGATTTTTTTAAATCGGCCCACTCACCAGCCATGAACGATAACCAAGTAGTGAAGTGATATTTGCTCCGAAAAACCCAGAAATTGCAAAAACTTTGAAATGTGTTTTTAGATTTTCAGTAAAAACAATAGGGTCCCAGAGATTAAATTTTGAACTCGATACCTTCAAAATTCCGCCATGCCATGTGGTGACAACATTGTTCCGAAAAATTCGGAAAAATCGTGATAACTCGGACACCCGTTTTTTAATTTTCACGAAATCTTTTCTTTCTCTCGACACGGGTCCCTAATAACCGCAGGGCGAGCGTCGAAAATGGCTCTTGGACTTGCACGTTACGCCAATATTTGGTGCTTCAAAAAATTCTTTGGGAGAGTCCGAGTATCAGATATCAATCGCGCTGTTGTTCATCGTGACTTATTTGACCTGCACAGAATGTTGAAGTTCGTTACGGAGGAAACGGCAGCTCCCCAAATTCTAAAGGGCAAGCGGGTAAAACCTACTGGTGACTGATAAAACAAAATTAAAGTGCACAGCAATTTTCCTAAGCGAGAACAGTAAATAATCGGATTTGGTAGCGGTATCTATGGGAAAGCAAATGCAGCAAAGTGAAACAATACCCCCCCCCCCCTCCTTATATTTAATGGTACAAAAAGTAGCAAAAAGCTTCCAATTAAACGGAACCGATAATAATTACTGTGCAAGAACTAGTAAAAGCTACACATACGCAAAAATTAAACGGTGTGAATGCAAAATACGTTTACGAAAAAGCTCAAAATTACGGTCTTTACAAAAAAGTAGCTTGCCAAAGTGCAAAAGGTAGAAAGTGGAGGTTACTATTCGGTGAACGCTAAAAACCAAATGATCGATGGTTTAAATACGGCACGGTTGCCAAGTTAAATTTACGGAAAAGCTAAGAACTTACGGTACTTACGAATTTAACTTGCAAAGATGCAAAAGTCAAAACGATCCGCTCTAAACAACTGCTTTTACCTTTACGACTGTTTTTCTAACCGATACAGCTTACTGGGATAAGAACGGCAAAAAATTACAACTTCTTTAATTAATTGTGCAGCTGCTAACGTGCTAAAAATACAGGACCGGTGTCAAAATTCAACTTCTTTAAGAGCGCATCTATCGGATGTAATCTCGACTTAATCGAAGGCTGTTATCTCTAATCCATTCAACTAACTACCATTAATTGTACTTATCCAATTAGTCGGAATAATATTTCCAAATTCCCCAATTCCCTTTGGTGGCCATAGTAGCGCCTTCCAACATAGGTTGGAAAATTCGCTAAAAATTGTAAATTGCATATTTAAACAATTCGGTTCTTCTTTTTTTCTTCCAAGAAGGAACGCCTGGGGCCATACACCCTCCCCACTGATTCGTTGAACGGTTATATTTAACTAATACGAACGTTTTATTTTAGACTTCCTCAAGAAACCACTCGACGACTACGTGAGCACGTTACCGGTTAAAACTCGAATAATACGAAATTCTGAACGCGTTGGTCTGGTGCAAGCGCGCTTGCAAGGCGCACGTGTTGCCAAGGGCTCCGTTTTGGTATTTCTAGACGCTCACTGTGAATGCACCATGGGTTGGTTGGAAAGCATGGTTTCCAGAATAAACGACGATCCCACGACTATAGCCTGCCCGGTCATCGATATCATCAACGACGACACATTTGCCTACGTCAAAAGTTTCGAACTGCACTGGGGCGCCTTCAACTGGCTCCTGCAGTTCCGCTGGTATACTCTAGCAGGACCGGCTTTGCAAAAACGAGCGAAGGATAACACGGAACCGTTTGTCACGCCGACCATGGCCGGCGGATTATTCGCGATCGATCGACAGTTTTTCTTCAATTTGGGCGGCTATGACGAGGGCCTGAGAGTGTGGGGCGGCGAAAATTTGGAGTTGTCCTTTCGCGCGTGGCAATGCGGGGGGCGTATCGAGATAGTTCCTTGCTCGCACGTCGGGCACTTGTTCAGAAAATCGTCTCCGTACAGTTTCCCAGGCGGCGTTGGCGAGACTCTCTACTCAAATTTGGCGCGGGTGGCTTTGGTTTGGATGGACGAGTGGGGCGATTTCTACTTTAAATTTAACAACGAGGCACGCAAAATCAAAAACAAGCAGGATGTCAGCAGCCGGCTGCAGTTGCGCTCGAAGCTACACTGTAAAAACTTTAAGTGGTACCTGGACAACGTTTGGCCGCAACACTTTTTTCCCAGCCGAGCTCGCTTTTTCGGCCGAATTCGAAATTTGGGCGAAAATTTGTGCCTGATCAAACCGTTGGGGAAAGAAACTTCCAATCAACCTATGGGAATTGCCAAACTCAATCAGTGCTTGAAGGAAGAGTTGCTCATCGAGATGTTCGTCATGACGAGAGAAGGATTTATTATGACCGACGACTCGGTCTGTCTGGATGCGCCCGAAAAGCAAGTCATCGGTCCCATGAAGGTTAGAATAATGGCCTGTAGCGGGTATAGCAGGCAGAAGTGGAAGTACAACAAGAATGTGAGTAGGTACACGTCTTTACTTCGCAAATTAATCGACTTTTTTTAGACAAAGCAATTGGTGCACGTATCCAATAAACTGTGCCTAGATGTTCCGTCGTCCAGAAAATATGAAGACGGCCTTGTGTTAAATTCTTGCAATGGGAGCTCAACGCAAAAATGGGAGCTGGAATCCGTGGTGTGGCATTAGTAATGAAATGGTGATTAATAACTCAAAAAACCAGGATTTGAGTGATTCTGCTATTATTGCTGGGTGCAAAAACTCATCGTCCTTCGTTTTCCTAAACTAGAGTGTCGCGTCTGCCGCGTACATGAAACATGTACGAACATTTTAATTGAATTTTACCGTCTATAAAAATAATAACGCGTGTAAAAAATTAATCATCAAGGTCCTGTAATTTATTTAACATTTAATAAACACCTTAAAGACAAAGAAATGTATACATCTGTTGTGTAATGTGCATTACTGTTATTAATTAAAATTGATTTAAATGGATTATTGTTGCTGAAATAGGATTAATCATCTATACCTTGTTAGTAGGATTAATATTAGAAAGTTGATCTTGTTTCCCTCTACAGAGTCGATTAAAATGATCCTTTGCAATAATGAAATAATTTTCCATTTACGTGACTAATAAAGAAAATAATTACACAGTAATTTATGTAATAGGGGCCGAAAAATTCACAAGTTTTTGGAATGAAATGGTACGAAAAAATGTAGTTATGATGTCTTTCCCGTTTTCTCTTTTGGTGGTTAGCTACAATATTGCATCCACCGGAATATCATCAACATTTCCGATGGGATTTGTAAATACAGGGTACTTCATTATAAATAAACACATGACCAACATGATAAATTTGTTTCAAAAAGACAATAACGAAAAAGAAGCAATTCTGAAAGTTTACTGCCCATAAGAAATGTGAAATGCAAGCATAATTCTGCACGAGTTGAATGATGGAAGTGCATCCTTGAACTTCCGTCAATATCAAACACAACTTCTGTTTATATGTTTTCATGCTGTCTGAATGTATATCAATAAATTGATTGTACATCACTCACTTAAAATTACCCATTGACCAAGAAGCTGCCTATCATAAAAGAATTGCTGTATATTTCCTCATTGGTAACATATAAGTTTCTTGTATATTCTGGTTGAAATTGAGATACAGCATTAAACATTTTTGTACGCTGAAACTCTTCGGATTCCTTAGGTTCCTAAAATAAACGTACTCCAATAAGGTCTCTAGGACCAAGAATGTTATGGTATTTTTGAGTTTCACCAAATTTCTAAGATAACCAGAACTGGTAAGATTTGCCTTAAGGCACCAACTATCAGAAATGCACTAATTTCTCGATATTGCTAAGGCTTATAGGCAACCTTAGATTTAAAGGTTCATAAGAAATTTAGGATGAATGAGATCATAATGAATAACAATATTCCCAATTTTTTTAAGGTTCTCGAGATGACATATATGAAGTTCTTAAAATTCATAAGGAATCCTGTTTCGATTATAAATTGTTAGGACCCATGATCAAATCCCAACCTTGTAATGTGAGAGTTCTTGTATTGTGCTATCTCAGAATTCACATGATCTTCGACCTCCAGATTTGCGAGATTCTTCTATATCAATAAATGCCAAAAATAAATAAAATGGCCGCCATGATACTGTAACGAGCCTTCTAGAACAGTCTGGAGACGCCATCAAGTCGGTATAGGATCAGCCATCAGCGATAAGAAATGAAAGCGGATGCTATGAAATATGATGATTGTGGATGCTAAAGTAATAAATAGTAAAATCCGCGCTTGTATTATAAATGTGTGAATATAAATAAGTGATAAATAGGTGATAATTAAATCAATCTATTCAAGACCGTTTTAATTTAGTTTCGCGTTATTACTATTAGTTCCTATGAATTTTAGTAATTAATTATTATCAGTTTTCTAAGACCACTAAAACTAATAATTTAGTAAGATCCAGGCCATTCCTAAAATTTCAAGACTGATCAACTTCCACCGATTTGTAGAGTATACTAAGGTTCGCAGGAGTCGTAACACTCAAATTTCCCTAAAAAATAGCATCACAAGGGACGAAGAGGTACATTTTCATACCCATTTATAGGGTTGACAGTAAACCTTTTATTAAATACAGAACAAAACAATAAATATTTGACCCCTCAGAAGTGACACCTCTCCAAAGGGTATTCAGTAGTAAATAAGATCGATTTCCCTAAAAAACTTAACTTAATCTTTTAAATACATGGTTTTCCAAAAGTCTATGGAGAGAAGATTTAAACGAGTGAAAAAAATTTGAAAATATGGGGATTAATTAAGAGTAATAAAAACCACATTTTAGAGGTTTTATAATTCTCATACAGTAGGGAGTTTTATAGGGGGCGATAACTCCAAAATTTTTAAATTAGAACCCCCGCTGAGTTTTACTTTATTTTAACCATAACCCCTCAGGATCACATGCTTGTAATACTATGAGGCGGACCACTGTCTTCTTTTCTGTTTGACGAAACCGGTAACTTCAATCCCATACAATACATACGCACTTCCAATGCTAAAACTTTTAAACTAGCATTAAAGAGTTATTTAATTGAGGCCACATTTATCAACGAGTACCTTAATCAATGTATTACCCGGTTATTATTTCTTCCACGACTGTATTTAATCACACAATCACTGTTAACTTCTTAACGCGAGCTATCAAGTTAATATTAGACGTGACTTAAAATTTACACGATCTTCTCTCAATCAAAAGGGAAAAAATCCTTTGGTCTACATTGCCGATTTGTATGACTACTTTTTGACCGATGGTCCGATATTCTTATATGATTTTGAGAACAAAACCCACGTAAGTTTTTTTTGAAAAATCATATGAAAACCTGTTCAACAGTATTGTTTTTAAGTACATAAAAAGTGTATCGCTCATCAGAGTATGTGGATTTTTGTGGTCCGAGTAAGAAATCTAAAAATTAGAAAGCACATGGCTATGACCTAGGTAAGCCGCCAGGTTTTTCTATGAATCGCTGTTGTTCCTGAGAAAAAAATGAAAGAGGAAATGCCAATTTAACGACTACTCTCAAACGATACATTTTGGCTAATTAACGAGCTCCTAAACGAGTTCATGATTTTACACCTTCCGTCCGCCCGTCCGTCCGAAGTGCACATGATAGGTCGCGAATGGTTTCGAATTTTCCAATTCTGTTTCCAGTATTATGTATCATCACCTTAGGAAAAACCATTGAATAAAAACACTATAAGAAGCCTAACGCTTATGGAAGAAAGCGCGACAAATCCCCTTGCACCCGCATTGGTTGTGACCCCCGAACTCTCTTTGCGGTAAATAGGAGGAAAGCAAATTCTCATTCTTCTCAGTTCACAAGAATCGACACTATTGACAGTGTTCCCATTATATTCTCAGTTCAATCTCTGTCGCGCTTTATTTCCACGGGGTTAGGCTTCTTATAGTGTTTTTATTCAATGGAAAAACTGATATTAAAAACTTAATTGTTGCTGTTTTTATGCCATTTATATACAAATACATGCAATGTAAAATCGTGCGCGCAACAAATGTGTAAAATCATTGAATAAAATTTTTATTCAATGGTAAAATGCGATAACTCCCCCTTTACTCGCTAGGACCAAAAAGACTGCGTTTAAATGGACTGTAGATTTGAATTGAAAACAAAAGACAAAATAATTTGCTATCAACTTACCCTGTTGTTATCATTGCCAGGATTTTCTTTAGAGGAGGGTAGGAAAGGTTGTTAAAATGGGAACTGAGGGATAAGTTGACAATCTTATGGATGACTAAAGTTATTCGCACAAATCACCGGGGTACGCACTTTTACCAAGTATAACACTTCAAAATTGCATCTTGAAAAGAGCAATATTAATGACCGCATTCGCCAATGTATTCCTCTCTACTGCCGGGTCTTTCCCAACGGCCGGGTGTATGGCGTTATCTTTTGAATACCTATATTTTAACCCAAACAACGACACCAGTTTCGACTGAAGAGATGTTGACGTAACTGATAAGTATATGCATTTATAGGATTGCTTGTCTGTGCAGAAGCAATCAAGAGTAATAAGATAACCTTTGATAATGTTTCAAGCGAGCAATATTTTCAGCGACTCGTATCCGGTTTGTTAAGTATCAAATTTGATGAGATTTGATAATATAGGAACTAGGCAAGAACGTGGGGATGTGGATAAAATAACTCCAATACGAGATGGAAAACAATACAACCCAGGACTGCATTTGACAATTGACGAGCATAATGCCATTTCGCGGAAAGTGCCCATTTGGAGTGTATATGAAAAGCAAACCAGCTAAGTACGGCATCAAAATGTGGATAATATGCGATGTGAACACATAGTATTGTCAAAATGTGAATGTACTCCGGAACACTGGGGAACGTTCCAGAAGGCCAGTAAGGAAGCCGAGTCGTCAAAGATTTGGTGTCAGTCTTGGGTCCAGATTAAGACATGTGTTTTGGCTATTACGTCAGTTATTTACCTTTAAAATTTTAGCATTTTAAGTTTTGATGCCTGAGAGAGTTCAATTATAGTTCGGGAGGTAATACAACTGCATTACATATTTCGCAGTTTCAAGGTAAATTTTCATTAAAATTGCTTATAATGTTCCTTTTAAGTTAGGTAATTACATTTTCTTTCTTAACAAACACTACACCGTTTGGTAGTTAAATTCTACAAAAAATCGTAGTTATATGTATGCACTTAATTAAAGATTAAAAAGTGGCAAGTTAGGTTCTAATAAATTATTTTACAATACATATGGCAGAAGTATTCGAGCAAAGCGAAATATTTACGCCGCGAACAAGGATTCTCAAAAAATAGAAGTCTTTAGGGTAAAATATCAAGATTCTTTTACGTCTTTTTGTCAATATCACAAGGAGATTTAAGATTATCTCTTTCATAGATAAAGATGATGATTTTCTGTCCGAGGATAAAGTCAGAAAAGATGCAGAATCATCCATAGACGGGGGTTACACGCTCAGTTTGGCATCAGTTCAGTCCATGATTGTGGTCAGAGTCAGAATAAGCGTGTAATGCGTTGACTGATGGACTGATAAACCAGACTGATCGATATTTATAGTATATTAAGATACAAGTGTATAATCAAGTCTTTAAAGCACGCGCAACGAGTTGAAGGGCACGACGCAAAGCGGAGTGCCTTTAACGTTGCAAGTGCTTTAAAGACCAATTATACACGTGTATCTTATAGTATTTTTTATTATACCTGCAGTATAATTTAAAAATAGGAAATACAATGAAATCATATTGACGTTATACTCGAATACATGTTTAATTAAGTGGGCTGGGTGTTCGTAATTTCACGATTGCCATGGAAATGTCACTTGACGTTTGCTTATAAAAATTATCGTCTTTGTGAATTAAACGATTTCCGTTGAAAAAGATAATACACCGTCCATTAAATCGATTGTTGTAAAATCTAAACAAACGTTGGTAGGTGTAAAATCCAACTCGAGTAAAGCCTATTATAAAGAATATGAAAAGTTGTTTCCATGGATGAATAGGAAGTTACTTACGAATACAGTCTTAAATGCATCCATAATGCTGGCATATATGAAGGAAATGTCAAAGGTATTTAAATCTTCTATCTTTTGGTGCATTCATTCAAAACAAACAACGAACAATGCTGCGATTAAAAAGTAGAACAGATTTGGAAGCATACCCTAAATTACGCGCGTTTGTGAAAGCTTCAACCAAGGGATAGGTACAAAAGCCAAAGAAATGTTCTGCATTTACAGAAAGCGACCTAAGAGGAGTTTTTATTTCATCCAGATGACAGTTTCAAAAGTCATACTTGAAGTATCGTTACTTAGCAACTTTAAAGCACGTGTGTTTTAAAGGCCCTTTTTCGCACGCATTTGAGTGTTTAAAACGGAGATTGTGATTCAGGTATAATAAATAGTACATTGAAATACAAGTGCAGAAACGGTATTATTGAAAAACGAGTATAAATGTAGGAACACGAGCGCCAGCGAGTGTTCCTATTATACGAGTTTTTCAATGACCGTTTCGGCATGCGTGTTTCATACTATTTTTTCTACGAAAGTGAAAAGTTCTTCTCTAGAAATTAGAAATTTAAACTAGTCAGATAACGGCAGAAAATCGTGTAGTCTGATCGTAGTTGGATGTTTCAATTGTAAATGATCAAGTAAGCCGGTTGCCATGACAAAACATAATTGTTTGAAAAATCGTAAATTTAAGTCAAACAATTTGTGGCGTAGTGAAGAAGTGTTAAGATGGATTTTGACGAAACTGAAGATGAAGAAAGTATGTGCACTCCGCCAGACGTTGCGGAAATGGCTAATGCGGTTTCGCATGAATTGCTACCCCAAAAGTCTAAGCAGCGTTTCGGAAAGGAGCGTTTTCATAAGGGAACAAATCGCTAAGTTTTTGGGAGAAGCGCCTGATGAAACATTTGTAATGATGAAGGTTTGTGAATTTCTTATTGTATTTTGAAATAATAAATATGCATAATTTAATTAAAGGTTGCTCTCGTCCTTGGAGTGGCTGGAGCTTGCCGTCGGAGCGAACGTTGTAAAATGACTGTAACGGATTTCACAGAACAAGATACAACTTTATTGATAACGATTCCTGACTCCAAGAATCATGTCCCAAGAACGTTTTCTGTAGCAGAAGGCCAAGAAAATTGGATATAGATTTATACCAAATCCCGAGCTTTACGTCCCTCTAATGTGCCAACTAATCGGTTTTTCTTAAATTATAAGAAAGGTAAATTTACCGTTCAACCGTATAGGTAAACACGTTTTGCAAAATTCCTCAACAAACTGCAAATGATCTAAATCTGCCAGATCTTTTTGCTTTTACCGGTCATTGCAGTTTTCGCCGGACTTCGGCCACGCTACTTGTTAATGATGGGCAGATATTCTGAGCCTAAAGCGTCACGGAGGTTGGAGTCGTCAATGGTAGCAGAGGGTTACATCGATGAGTCTTTAAGAACGAAAGTTGGCTTCCAAGAAAATAATTGGTAATGCTTCTGATATTTCTGAATTAACTGGTACCTGCACATCGTCTTGGGCGTTCAATGTAATAACTTCCAATCTTTCGATTTCAAAATCTATTAATCAGTTAAAGTCGACAATTCCAGGTGTAAGTACAGGTAATTGTTCATCTTGTACCTAATTAATATTAGTAATTAGTCATATTTCATGTATGATTTTTTAGTTGTAGTTTAATTGTAGTGATCCAATTTTTCTGCCATTGTCTTATATAACGAAACTGTGAATAAAGCAATACAATTACAAAGAGTTACTTCGCATATGTTTATTAGCGTGTAGAAAATGCGTGCAGAAAATATTTTTGCCGCACTAGTGTTTCAAAGACCTGTTTTCACAATCAATTTACCTACAAAAACAATCGTGTTTCTACACTTTCGTAGAAAAATAGTATATTGTAATACAAGTGCGGAAAGGGCTTTATTGAAAAACGCGTATGAAAGTTGGAGCACGAGCGTTAGCGAGTGCTCCAATCATACAAGTTTTTCAATAATCCTTTCCGCAAGTGTATTACATACTATTTTTTCTACAAAAGTTCTCGAATTTAAAGATTTAGAGAAAAATTTTATATCAAAATGTTAAAACAACAATTTCTGTATAAATCAAGTCGTAGTACGATTCTCGTGTTTATCTGTAAAAATATAAAATCAAGTCTTCGTGACGCCGCTACGTTGTCTTAGTTACCAACGAGTTGTTTATAAAAAAGCCGGTTAGTAATTTTGCATGTAGTTTTGTACGAAGCAATTTCTTCAGTAAAACAAGAATTTAAAAGCTGAAAATGAGTGTTCATGAAGAAAGTGAGAGCGGCGATGAATTTATGTGCACTCCGCCTGAGGTTGCTGCAATGGCGGAATCAATTATGCCTGAGCTTTTGCCTGAAAAATCGAGAAATCGGTACGAAAAAGAACGAGAGAGGTTTTTTAATTGGTGTAAAATGAAACAAGTCAAGCGGTATACAGAAACCGTGTTGCTTGCCTATTTTGTCGAAAAATCTGGAAAATTGAAATCATCGACACTGTGGTCAATGTATTCCATGTTGAAAAGTATGTTGATTTTGCAAGACAACGTCGACATTTCCAAGTATGCCAAGTTACAATCGTTTTTGAAACGTAAATCTGTTGGTCACAAGCCGAAAAAATCGCTGACTTTTACGAGACAACAAATCAGAACGTTTTTAGAGGAAGCACCCGATGAAACATTTTTAATGATGAAAGTAAGCACCTATACTTACCTACTATTTTTTCATGTCTATACATTTGTTATATGTCACACAAATAATGAAATTTATTTGTAGGTTGCTCTAATATTAGGAGTTGCTGGGGCTTGTCGTCGAGAGGAGTTGACGAAAATGACGGTGAACGATATCCAAGGCGAAGATACGTTTTTACTCGTAACGATTTCAGACTCCAAAACGCATGTTCCAAGAACTTTTTCTGTTACGGAGGGAAAAGAGAATTGGATACACTTGTACCAGAAATATAAAGCGCTTCGTCCTCAAAATGCTCAAACTTCGCGACTTTTTTTAAATTATAAAATGGGAAAATGTACCGTACAACCTGTGGGTATTAATACATTTGGAGCAATTCCTAAGAAAATTGCGAGTTACCTGAAATTGCCAAATGCTTCTAGTTTTACGAGTCATTGTTTTCGGCGTACCTCCGCAACGCTACTTGCTAATGCTGGAGCAGACCTTTTGAGTCTTAAACGTCATGGGGGCTGGCGGTCGTCGACGGTAGCGGAAGGATACGTAGATGGTTCTCTTCAAGGCAAATTAGAAGTATGTAACAAAATAATTGGTAATGCTTGTCAATCAAATGATCCTTGCACACCTTCGACATGTCAACCAGATGATCCTTGCACATCTTCGACAGCGTCCACATCTACATTAATAACTTCTAAATGCTCTGTGTCAAATTCGTTACTTCCAGGTGTTAATATAAGTAACTGTTCATCATTTACCATTAATTTAAATATTACTAGCCAGAAGTAGCTGTAATTGTAAATTGTGGCATTAAAATAAAAAAAAGGTAACTGATTCCAAACTGAGCGTGTAACCCCCGTCTATACATATAAAACAGTAAGACCGAAATCTGTTTGTAATCTTATATAACTGAAGAACGGCTGGACCGATTTTAGTGATTTTTGGTTTGTTGGATTAATCTTCCCTGGGAATAGGACATAGGATATTAAAACATGCGAAAATTTGACTGGAAAATGGGAAAATTCCCGGTTATATATTTATATATGTAACAGTAAGACCGAAATGTGTTTGTAATTTTATAATTGAAGAACGGCTGGACCGATTTTAGTGATTTTTGGTTTGATGGATTAGTGTTCCCTGGGAATAGGACATAGGATATTTAAAACACTCGACAATTTGACCGGAAAATGGGAAAATTCCCCATTAAATATCTATATATATAAAACTGTAATACCGAAATGTGTTTGTAATCTTATAACTGAAGAACGGCTGGACCGATTTTAGTGATTTTTGGTTTGTTGGATTAGTTTCCCTGGGAATAGGACATAGGATATTAAAACATGCGAAAAATTAACCGGAAAATGGGAAAATTTCCGATTATATATCTATATATAAAACAGTAAGACCGAAATATGTTTGTAATCTTATAAATGAAGAACGGGTGGACCGATTTTAGTTATTTTTGGTTTGTTGAATTAGTCTTCCCTGGGAATAGGACATAGGATATTAAAACATGCGAAAATTTAACCGAAAAATGGAAAAATTCACTTTCTATATATATAAATATATATAAAATGGTAAGACCGTAATGTGTTTGTAATCTTATAAATGAAGAACGGCTGGACCGATTTTAGTGATTTTTGGTTTGTTGGATTAGTCTTCCCTGGGAATAGGACATAGGATATTAAAACATGCGAAAATTTAACCGAAAAATGGAAAAATTCACTTTCTATATATATAAATATATATAAAATGGTAAGACCGTAATGTGTTTGTAATCTTATAAATGAAGAACGGCTGGACCGATTTTAGTGATTTTTGGTTTGTTGGATTAGTCTTCCCTGGGAATAGGACATAGGATATTAAAACATGCGAAAATTTTACCGGAAAATGGGAAAATTCATTATATATATATATATATATATATAATACTGCAAGACCGAAATGTGTTTTAAATCTTACAACTAAAGAACGGCTGGACCGATTTTAGTGATTTTTGGTTTGTTGGATTAGTCTTCCCTGGGAATAGGACATACGATATTAAAACATGCGAAAATTTGACCGGAATATGGGAAAATCCTCGATTATATATAAAACAGAAAGATCTAAATTAATGACATTCTAACTAAAGGACGGTTGTACCGATTTTAATGACTTTTGGTTTGTTGGATTTGTCTTTGCCAGGTCTAAGAAAACTGTCTGTATCCACAAAGAGAACAAGCTTTCGGAATGGCTTAGGAAGTAATTTATTTTGATTAATTAAAGAAATTAAAATGAGAAAAAATACTAAATTGAACATGCACATTAAAGCTTTTTAAAGCTCCTCAAGTGAAGGATTTCCGAAAAACTTTTATTCTGGTTTAGACCGAAATTGAAAATTTGTGAAAACGCGAAGGCAGTAAGCAAATATTTTTTGAATAAGTAATAGACTAGAAAATTTTGTTAAATTGGTCAATGAAATAGCTCTCTGTAATAATATTAAAAGAAACTGTTTTTTCTTCGCTAAGAAGAATTTCTAATTTAGATTGATCAAGTGTACGTGCAAAAGACTTACCGTACCACTCTCAGATTAATCTTCATTGTTAATCTGAGGTACCACTGGTGTCTAGGCAAAGAAAGAGAAGTTGGTACATTCCACCGTAAATCATGAGTTAAAAGATTGCTAGGCGTAAGACCTCTGGATGCTGCCTCTGCAGTCTGCAGGATTGAAAGCTGAAGATGTATAAGGAACGATACGTAGATGTGACTTACCCGGTTTGCCACAAATGTCTTCCACCTACTGGGGGAATTCAATTCAGGACAATCTGAGAATCTGACCAGGCAAAAGTTGCATGGAAAATTAATTCATTTGCATAGGTTTCTTTTAGAAATAAAATCAAATTTGATAATAATTTAATTCAAGTTTCGGTAAGGAAATGCTTTTTAAGGGTGCAACTTTGCTTTTAGCACAAAAGTAATGAAACATGAACAGAATTTACGGTTTCTAGAAATTTTTCACGTTTTAATTGTGGACCATGAGGTAATTTACACAAGTAATATTGTATTTTTGAATTATTTCTTTGTAAGTTGAATGCAGAAGTTTTAGAATTAGTAATATTATTTTTTTGTAAGCAAGGACTTTTTGCATTTGAAAATTTACCTCAAAAGCCAAAGAATTATTTATTTTTATTCACTGTGCCTGAATTATTGGTATTTTTTACACTAGTCCTTCAATGTGTCCCTCCCGATTTGAACTCATACCTCATACCAAACTTCTCAGGGTACAGACTCTGGTTCCCACTTCTGTACCGCTGTAAGGTAATTCTACTTTAAGGGTTGTTAAATTAGGATTCTTATTCCAGTCGTAACCGTAGAGTGCGACTTAAAAGTGTTTAATGCCGCATTTTATAATATATTTTTGAAGGTAAGTATACGAAGATGGTAATCTCAAAAGTGTGAGATGGAAGCAATTTTTTTCATTACAAAGCATGTAATTTGGTCCGTACGCCCCCGTCCATAATCGTGTCTATCGTAATTGTCCCGATGATAAAATATCCGTACTTTCTCTAAACAAATACTTTAAGTAGGTGGAGTACTATTAAGAGCACTTATTTCATAATTTAAGAAGATTGCAACACTTACATTTGTCTTCGTAGGTACGTTAATTGATTTCTTTTTATAAGTTACGATCGCTCGCGTTGATATCTCCTCTAATGAGTGTATGTACGTTTGCTGGATGTTAACGAAACGTGAGTCCCGTGACTTGTAGGAATTTAAACTTTAACTTCTTGCGTGGTCCATGTATATACGGTACCAGAATTAGAGCGAAATGGTCCATTAGATGCAACCTCCGCAGATTGTATATGATGCAAATAAAAGCATCACGTTTAATAGTGTACCAAGCTTTGTTCAGATTCTATCTCTAAATTAACATAAATAGGCATATCATGTTAAACATTATTGCAATTGTTGTTCCAACAATGCTCGGTTCTTTTACAAATAATTCCAACAACTAATTGCGAAACAACTACCATAAATCCGTAGCTTCTTGAATTTTTGTCGCGACCCGAAGGCAGGTTTTTTGTACACGGAAACTACAGAATAAAGCGATTTTAAAGCGATATATTAAAACGTGTACAATGCACATAATATATTGAATGCATGTCAGAAATGTTAACATATTCAGCGATATCTCGTGCATCAGCGACAGTTTTGAACACCGTATTCAGCTATTACCGTATCTCACGTAGCACCGACTGCTTTTATCGGTGAGCTTCCACTTACCATGAGCTAGAAACTTGCAGTTACGATATTCAAATGGACATGGAAAAAGATCTTTATGTCATCTTGGGGCAGTTAAGTGGCTGAAAGCCGCCCGTCGAACGAAACCAAAAAGAAAGTCGTCGAAAAAATGTGGTGAACGGTTCGAGCACGCTCTAGAAATTCGTAATGGTCCCTAAATTGCCGCGAGGAATGCCATTAGATTAGAGATTGAACAATCAATACTGTTCGTATTCTGCTCGTTATGAAATCAATCTATTTCGCTCGGTGGTTAAATTCGCTCTCGTTAAAAGCGCACGTGCTGCTCTCTCGCAATTTCCTTTGCACAACTTTTTCTAACCGCGCGCGCGTCACACTCTTGTTACACTCGAATAAGTAAGCAAATTGTTAATCACTTTGTCTTCGTTTACTTTTACTAGGGCTTAGGTAAACTTTACACTCTTAATTTATTGTAGCTAACTCGACTGCGGCGATTTTAATATTTCTTCGTAATCGTTTCTATCTATAGAGAATACGGAGTAAGTATTGATATGAATCATCTAGCAGCACGAGTCGCCTTAAGTTACGTTAAATTACTAAACATTGTTAAACATTCATCACGACCTCTGATATATGTATTACAAACTATAACCTCGTAATTTAAAATCGATATTGGACAAAAGGTTTTTCATATAATTTGCAAAAAATACCATGTCCGAAACGTTGTATAATCATCTGCACTTTTACTCGTTTACGTTTCAATGAGCCCAAACTACTTTTTGTTTACTTTCATTTTAGATCATCGCGAACCTTTAAAAAATAAATCGAAATATGCGGATGTAAATAATGGAATTGGAAACGAACAACCTCTGGCACTCCAGTTCCAGCATTGTACAAAATTATGGTGTGTTTGCGAAAGGGCGAGTCGATACTAGACCCTATTTGCGCATTAGTAAAAAAGCAAATACAATTAACGGTATACGTATAATAGTACATTATTCAGTGAGCGTGTAATTATAGCTATTATTCTTAGGATGAGGTTTGAGGCACAAGCCGTAGGCGAATCTCGTTAATCATCCGCGAATAACCGATACACGCGAAGGGATACAACACCTCTTCTACACAGATTTAGAATAATCACACCGAATGGCTTTGTGTGCTTCTGTAATCTGATGTGTAAAAGAAACTAGAAACAGATACATTACAAAAATAGGATCGGTTAATTCGATACGTTTATAGCCTCATCTAGTTACATAGGTATACAGGGCTTTCATTTCCAAGCGAACAACGGACTGTTACTTTGTAATTTTGATGAAAAAATACAGAAATTGCAAACATCAATTCACATAGCTATAGGGGATCGTTTAATTAATGTTTAATAAACAAGTATAGGGAAATTGTGTAGAACTCTTGTCCAGATAAAGCACATTTTTTTAAACCGAAATAGCTTAGTAAGTGGTTGGGTTATAAGGTAGCATGCTATATTTATCGATGTTTACTTTCTTGGTATACATGGGGAGGAGGCCCTCTGGCATGCATTCAAAATCTACGCTATATAAAGCAAGAACTACTTTCCTCCGACAAACCGTTTTCGAGATATTGGCTCCTAAAGTTTTGCCATCATACATGGATATTGCTGGGACAAACATTCGGCTCGCATAAAAAATAAGTGCAATGCCCCACGTTGGGCGAACAATTAAAAATTGAGTGTGCACTCCGGCCTCGAAAATTGGCAAAAGGCCCTCTTCTTACACCAACTTAAGCAGCTGGGGTTGATAATATCAATATTACTTTATTGCTGCATTGTATACCGACAATAATGCTCATTCTGATTGGTTAGTTGTTAAAAAAGGAGTGCCACAGGGATCCATTCTGGGATCTCTGTTGTATACTATGTACACATCAAATTTTCTTACGTGTTTGGGGAGTTCGAAGGGTCATATGTATGCTGATGACACACAGGTATATCGTATATTCGGTCCTTCAAATCACGATGAGGCAATTAGTGAAATAAATTTATCTCTGGAAAATTTAGTGTTACTCTCAAAACAACATGAGCTCATGATTAATCCTAACAAATCTGTTGTTCTATTTTTTGGAAATCAAAACATATCCACCGATACTTTTGTTTAAGTGGATGGAACTCGACTTCAAAATAAGTGTGAAGCAGAAGCCCGTAACCTAGGAGTTGTCCTCGACACTAGCCTGAGGTTCAAGTATCACGTAAATACTTTAATTGGTAGATCGTACTCGTGTTTAAAGATGTTATACTCCTCTAGACATGTCCTTAGTCCTAAATTAAAGTTACAAATATGCAACTCCTTAATTTTAAGTCAATTTGATCATTGTGATTTCGTCTAACGGTCCTTGTCTTGATACCATAACAGCTAAACGCATACAAACTATTCAAAACGCTTGTCTCAGATTAGCTTATGGAATTACAAAGCGGAAAAGGATTTCACATACTTTACGGAAGGCGAAGTGGTTGAACATGAACAATAGACGACGTCTATACTCTGCATGCACCTTCAAAAAAATTGTGGACAGGCAAACTCCGCTATACCTTCACAAAAAGTTAACATATCGGACAGACGTTCACAACATAAATGTGAGGCGGAAAAGTAAATACATATTTAGTATACCAATGCATAGAACCGTTCTGTTTCAGCGATCTTTCAAATATCAGGCTGTAAAAATACTTAATGGACTTCCTGCCGATATTGTGACGTTAAACCAAAAAATGTTTAAGTGCAAATATAAACAATACTTGTTTACTAAACAAAACGTACAATAATTTAGCTTGTTCCCTTTCTTTTTCTTTTTTTTTCTCTTTTCAATCGTTCACCTTTTTTTTTGTTTTTGTTGTTCTTTCTGTCTGTACCTAACTGGAAGCTTTCATAAAGTTATTAAGGTTAAAGTAGAATTATAAGATTAGGTTTTACCTAAAAAATCTGAACTTTCACCTAATTGATATATGCAGTACTTATTACAAATGTAGAACTGCGCTAATCAATAAAGACATTTATTATTATTATTATTATTAAGTCCCTCTCCTCATTTTCACAATTCAAACACCTTCTTCCAATTGTTAAACACGTAGCACCACGACAACCAATCACAACTACGTTCATGGACACTTATGAATTACATCAACCTTTTAACAAAAGTAATCAAAGTGTCCATAAATTAAAATAGAACTGTCACTTAAATGAATGAACAAAGCAAAATTGATAAAAAAAATAAACGATAAATTGCCCTACATGTAACAATACTAGGAAATAATCTTTTAAACACGGAAAAAATTCCACCACTTGGATACAACTAGAAGCGCAATAATCGTTCCGCGCTTAAACGTAAAACCCCAAAATAATTTGGAACGAAAATTTGACTAACAGCCGTAATTAATTCAGGCGTCTGGGCCCAAACCTCAATGTCCACATCGGCAATGTTTCCATTGTAATATATTTTCTTCCAAACCCAGACGTTCCAATTGCGCTTGGTGAGTGCCCTCCTGCGACAATCTGTTCTTGAGGTATAAGGAATTACATCAGATCACGATAAGGGGTCGATGACAAAGGTGTATTTGATATTGATAAAAAGCGGCCAAAGTAGGTAAAGAATTGATACCACCGAAATCCAAAAAACTACATGAGCAGCAGTACGATGCGTTTAAGAAGTAGTGCCGCATACAAAATGTGGAACAACCTACTGAAATTGCCTTGTTAGTAATTTCATCCTTCCGGGATTTTCGTCTAAATTTAATCCCGGCGGGACAAAAAGTGACACTTCAGTACTTGTCATAATGGAATGAAGTTGTTACTTTAGTCCCGGAAGTACGAAAAATTAATTTCTGAGCGCAGGGTCATATTTAGATTCAGCCCTATATTACTAACAGGTACTGAGAAATGCCAACAGAAGGGGAACCGAAGTAGAGGAGATGGTAGCGGGCTTGGACCTACAAGTCGTCAATACTAGAACCCGGCCCACGTTTGAAAAAGGAGGACGTACGTCAATTACAGCCAGCTCAAACATAGCAAGCCAAATCGATAACTGTAAGGTGGAGGACGAAGAGTCCCCCAGCGACCAGTATTATATTACCTGGACGGTAGACGGCGCAACTTCTGAAATCGAAGGCTCCCAACAACCAACAGAAGACCACATGGAAATGGCAGTAAGTTAACCTGGAAAATTTGAGAGGGATCCTGGAAAAGGAAATACGCTTACTACGTACATCGTCTAAGTTGGAACAACTGCCTACAAAATGTGCAGACGAGGGATGTCAAGGGTTAGGAAAGGAGTTAAAAATGAGCAACAAGCTGGTGGGATCAAGAAGTTACCGCGGAGAGGAAAAGATGTGTGGAGGCCAGGAGGCGGGCTATTAGAGCTCGAGATAAGAAAAGGTTGTATAAAAAAAGATGATAGAAGGCACGAAAAGGCGTTGTTGGAAGAAGCTATGCCAGGGATTGGACGGAGACTGTGGAATGAAGCGTATAAGATAGTAGCAGGGAAGCTTGGACGCAAGGAGAGAATGGTCGATAATGATGAAGAGATAATTGAAAAACTATAAACCTTTTTCCCCGTGTACAGATAAGCGAAGACCAAGTCTCAGGGGCAGATATAGTACAGAATCAAGAAATTATTCCGCATCCGGGGGGTAAAAAAATGCCAAAAGGAAAAGCGTCGGACCCAGATTTGTTTCCCGGCCGAATTTGTTGCTCTAATGGACCAGGTGGCCCCGGACGTACTTCGAAAGATTGTACTAAGCACAGGGAAATAATACCCTGAAATACGGAAATGGGCCAATATAGTCCTAATAGCAAAAAAGAGCCCGGGACTGACAGACTATTTGGTGTTAATTATATAGTTCCGTCTCTTTTTTATATAACGTATGGTAATTAAGTCCATGTTTTCTAAAGAAGAAATCTAATTGGAGATCCCCCTGAAATAAATGAGTTTTTTCGACCGTACTTAAGCAACCCATGTACCACATTTTTGATGATTCTTACTCCTTACATATGATCCAAAGATTGATCTCTTACTACATTTGCAGGTTGAACTACATTAAGGAGCCAAAATATGACATAAATGTAATACATCTGGGCTCGAAAGATTTCTGAAACCTCATGCTCGGCCCTTGCGCTGCAGCTGACCAATTTATTCTTCCAAAGTTTACAAAACTATGATTCACCTGGAAGATAATTTCGAACATCTAAAATTAGATAACCGGTAAATTTCGAAAATGCTCCACCCTTAAAAGTCCCAAAATTTGTACCTTCACAACGAAGTTTCTAAAAAAATTAAATACAAATTTAAAGCTACCGTTACACTAAGGAGATACATTTTCGCAGGGACATCTTGTGTATTGGTAATAAAAGAATCCATAATATACTTTATTTGAAACCATAGCTAATTTGCGCCTCAGTATACTGGAATGTTGGGAAAAGCTATTAGCTCTGGCAGTAGAGCACAGCCGCAAAAAACAGAAGCATTTAAGATTAATTTCTTGCAAATCAGGCATTAGACAACACAGAACGGATATTAATAAAATAAATCTCAAAAAATAAAATTGAAGTAGCTATTAGCAATAACTGAGCATTAATTTGGATACTTAGCATGATGGCTTTTAGAATACTTTTACTAAGCTCTCACACTTTGGTTTCAGGAGGTGATTATGTCATAAATTTATAACTTCAATTGCACTTTATTTATTGGTATCGGTTCTTAGATCCACCACTTGCTTGTAGGCAGATTCGATCCATATAATTACCATATTTTAACCTTTCGTACAAACTTTTTGGCCTCGCGTGTTATCGAATTTCGTACGATCGTTTGCCGTTTTGCGGCAATCAAATAAATACAGAGCAAATGTCGACCTTTAACGCATCTATAATGGGCGACCAATAAGACGCTTACACAACGAAAAATGGTAAATTTGCCAATCGTTCTGAACAGGTTGTTAGGAACTTGTCACCAATAATTGCATAGTTGCTCAGTAATAATAATATTTACACACAAACATAGCGAAGGGTAAGTGAAGTGTTTATACTAGTCAAAAAATATAAATGTTAAACACTCGGACAAGTGTAATTAAAAAAAAGATGCCCGCGAGCAAATAATTAATGATAGGTCAAATCTATTGTATAATAGTGTATACATCACGACCATTTTGTATCTACCGTCTGCACGTGCCAAACGATTAACAAATTCCGCTTTCTCAACTTTTTCAAATACGACAATGAACGGTAGCAGGACAGAGATGCAGCGAGACAATGCAATCGGCAAGTTAACAATAACAAAAACAACCTATTATTATTACTATTATTTATGGTTGTGCACGAAACGGATTCTGTTCTAGCTTAAGAAGTGTGCCAATATTGTTATTAATAGCAGGGCGGTGCAAGGCCGAACGTCACACGAAAAACGAACTTAAGAAATGAATTATACTTTTACTTATTGGTTTAATTAAACTCTAGGAAGGTTAACTAATGCGCTGGCAATTCTTTTCTTCCCTCTTGCCTGATGAAGTATATTGTTGCGCCAAATCCACGAGCGATTAAATAGATTATAATGTCTTCTTTGGTAAATGTCAGATTATTGTCTTATCAAGATGGCCTAGAAACTCCAAATTAACTTATGAAACTTAATTGAATGTTTGTTGTCGATTGTAATTACTAACGTCTCGTTGTTGTTGTTGTTGTTGTTATGAAACGGTTTTGAATACCTGCTGACAAAATAACTTCATCTTGCACGATTTGCCAATTTCTTAATGGCGAGCGACGGTATAATCAGGATGTCCGTCCTAAAAAGCTACTTCCACCTTAGGAAACTGCAAGTGAGCTTGTGGTTTAATTTAATCTTTTATGGAAATTGATTAACTTCTTTTTGTATGAGAAATTCGCACATGTTTGTCGCCCGAAAACAATGTAACGGAATTCGTTCTCGTGGTTTGGCTTGGATACGATGAAACACGTAAAGAAATCGGTGAGTAAATTTGTTGTGTGGTATGTGATAAAAAAAGGCAAAGAAATATTATTATTGAGTATTTCGTGTAAAGTAGGTACCTACTTGCGCTATGCACATTATTTCCAAGTAAAGTACCTATACTTAGCACTAAGGCTTCGTTAAGCGCTGTATACTTATAGATATAATCTAATACTGATATAATACAAGTGAAAAACTAAAAAAAGTTAAAATTTAATTGGATGACATTCTGCAAAAGTATGGACATGAAATCCTTAGACTAGCCCCATAAAATTGTCAATACAGTTTTGTTCATCTTGCTTATAGTTATTTAGTAAACATTTCTACAATAAGGGTTTCTAAGTTATAGCGTCAGACTTTATCAAAGGATACTTGACGTGACAATGATTTTGGTTGGTAATGTGAAAAGTTAATTTTGTTAAAATAGACATGGGATCAAAATCGATTGCAAAAGTTCCACGTATGACTATTCCGTTTGGGGAATTTCAGTCGGAAGCGAATGATACTGATTCGGACTCAATTTCTGATTTAATGTCGGAAAGGAGGTGACAAATTTGACATCAAAACCAAATTAAATGTTTGAACAGAAAGCCAAACAGTTTTTCTCTGTGTATTGTTATACACATATCCCAGACATTAGTACGTGTCAACATTTGCGTGCAACTACGTTTCGAGAAACAAACTGCTCCCTCGGAATTAAAACACACACTTTCGGTCCTTGGTGTAGAATGTACTATTACGCCTCGCAGAAGTTACACCCCTTCAAATTTAGTATTACAAAGACGGAGAAATATTACATTATTTTTCCACCCGTTTTTCCATTTATAGGGTTGATGGTAAGCAATACACTTAGTCAAGGAAGCAATCAAATTGTTGACGTCGCGCAAAAGTCACCCCTTCAAATGACACGGCTGTACTGAACAAGACCCATTTTACGAAGAAATGGTAATACAAATATGACGAGAGGGTACATTTTCTTTTTCATTTATAGGGTTGACGTTAAACCTTGCAATAGGTTTATTGCAATTAAAGGAGCTGATCATCTCTTCGTTTAAATAAAAATTACCGATTTTATTAAATGGGCATGAACTGGTTGGCAAGAATTCAGAATTTTTCAGGGTAATTAGCCTATATATAATCCTCCTTATAGCAACAATGGCGTATAAAGGTTTACTAGCGGAAATGTACCTAGGTACCCTGGCAATTTTTCCATTGAAGAACTTTTTCTTCCACTAATTGAACAGGGTGTTCGAAATAAATTTTTTTGAATCATGAATTGCGAAAGACGCAGGTCTCGGCTCCTGTGTCGATCAGGAATTCGGTGTTGCTAGACCTATCCTTCATGTAGGATCGGAGGGGTGCGTTTTGCGCCTCGTGTACCGCCTCTAACGACTGCCTTGCGAGTTTTCCGATTTCTCCTTGCAGGGTGATTGACAGTTTCTTGCTTTGCTCCCGAATTTGTAGCGGTACCAGCATGTATCGTACTGTCTCTTAGGCGTGCGACTTCTTTTTCTGCTTTGGGAATTCCTCCTCTTGCTCGTGCTTGACCGGGCAGTGTCTCGTCCTCGTTTATTTATTTATTTATTTATTTATTATCCCTCTCTTGTTCTGGGTCCTCAACAGGCATGTGCCCAATTACAGAGTGACCCGCATAATGCTTTTTAGAGGTGCCTCTGCAGAAGGTCCTACTCCGGGATTTACCTTACGAATTAGGAAAACTGCAGGAAAACCTAATTCGGAGTAGCCGGTAGAATGCTCGGAACTGGTCTAAGGTAATTTCCATCTCTGCCACAGATGAAAAATTCACCTCAACCCAGGTTCGAACACCCGACCTCCGGATTTATACCCCAACGCTCTACCACTGAGCCATAAAGCCGGTTACCGTTATTGCCTTTGCTAAGTTACGAACAGTTTCTTCAAAGGTGCTGTGCTGTACGGCTTGGGCCTTATAAAGCCCTAGAAAGAGATAATCGCGGTCCACTTTTATCAATCGCAGGAGTAAGAGAGGTGAGTGGTTACTTTAGTAATATAAGAATTCGTATACGTAGCAAGTTTAATTGCACAGTTGGGGATGCATTCAATATTAGTCTGCGAACAGTCACTTCTATTTCTGAAATTTCTAAATGGGGTAATGTAAGTAACCCGTTAGTGATGTGGATAGTTTCGCACAAGCAGCGATCAGGAACTCCACCTACGACA